AAAATTATTAGGCTCCAATGATTATTTTTTGTACCAATTATGGATGTTTTGAAAATTAAACTTAATATGTTAGCATTTGAGAATATTTATCAACATTTAAGATTTTAATGTCATCATTTTTTCAAAAAATTTTAGGGTAAAGGACTAAAAATATATTTTTTAATTTAGGGACCCAAATTAAAATCTTGGACAAAGTTAAAAGACTAAATATATATTTTAGCCTTTGGATATTGATGCTCTTACTTGTCTACAAATGAACATAGATGTTTATGACATCACCTCTACGATGCGTACACATGCAAATTTTGATTTGGCTGATGTCATTCTTTTGTATGCCGCCTGTAGTTGTTTTTGCTATACTAATTACAATAAAGTATTACCTAAACTTTAATTTGTTGTTTATGAATGTATCTTAGCAAGTGGCAGGCATTCAAATTGGCTTCACTTTCTGGCTTTGCTGAGCCCCTCGGTGTTATTATTGTTGGTAAGCTATTTCCCTTTTGTTGCTTTGCATCGTTGGAGCTTTTTTAAGGAAAAAATGACTAAGAAGCAATGCGATATTATGACAATGATGGGTAATATTGATGAGACAGGTATTATATGGGAATTTAGAAGGGTAATAGTATTTAGGGAATTAGAGTTAGAGGTAATTTAGGATATTTGACACAACCTTTACTCTAGGAACAGGGGAGTATCATGTGTAGTCGTGTGTGAAATTGAATAAAATTTTGGCATTTGGTTTTTGAGGTTTCCATGTATCGACAAGTTTTAGAATGTGAGTCATGTTTGCTTGATATCATGCCTACTTTAGCCTCGTACACTTGCTCTCTTTCCCTATCATTCTCAACGTGAGTTGTCATGATATAATTTTGCAGATTTAATCTTTTACAAAACCATGCTTTTTGGAGTTTTACATTAATAGATTTGAATTTACTGTGATGAGTTTTCTCCTTTTCCTGCAGCCTATTTATTCCCTAGCAGCTTAAGTCCTGAGATTCTTGAAGGCTGCTTGGATCAGGTTTGTGGTAATAGTGAAGGGAATTGACGACGCGCAGCGAAAAAACAACTCGAAATTTTAAAACTTTCAATCCCTTTCCGGATCTACCGATCGCGTTTAAGTCAGGTAGTAAGAAGCATTACCTTTAGGCGTTCGATTCCCTGGTGACTCGATGATTCGGCCGTTCAGGATGCTTCTGGTGCCTCCTTTGTCGTTCGAAGTCGACAACTCCGGTCGGCTTCCTCTACCGGTATCCACACGAGTAGCCCTCAACCTCGAACGGCGTGCTAACGCCTATGTCCGTCTAGGGTTTTAGGAATCCGTCCTCTCTCCTCTCTTTTGGCCGTCTCTTAGGTGTTGGTTCTCTCTTAGTTAAACCCTAGCTCCTCATACCAATATATAGGATGCTATATAGGTTTAATTAATAATATTTAATTTCGAAATTAACTCTAAATTAATTCCGAAATTAATACAATATCAAAATATTGCCTAATCAGATAAGAGAACAATTAAATAAATATGGTTTAAATTAAATCCGTCTCACAGATTTAATTCTCCTATTTATTTAATAAAGAGATGACGGAATTAATTTGTATATATTTAATTTATCCTTATAAATTAAATCTAACAATTGATATCTTTTATATTCATATATATATATACGAATTTATATATATATATATATATATACACACACGTCCACCCTATATTATTCATTGAATCTGGACATATCTTAGATTCAATGAATCTGGACATCATAACTCGTGTCGGGCTATTTTGTGTGCGACCCTGTAGGCCCATATGAAGTTGGCAGTGGGCCATTAACTATAATGACCCACAAGTCGTAAGCGGTCTCTAGCAAGACATCACGACTACCCAAATCATATGAGGATCATTGAACGATGCAACCTTTCATACAACCATATCACGTCCCTTTTGTCTCACGACATTTTGGTCATGGATGAGGCATGGAGAACGTCATCCTCCTATCCATGACCGTTACTTTCTCGATCCCTGAGTAGTCTGAGTATAGAAATGGAACTACCTTTCCATTATAGTATGGCCATACATTTCTCAGACTCACTCATCGAGGGGCCCAGTAATGTCTCTCTACGAATGTGAGGGACAAATTCCATCTTGACCATTCACATTCCTACGCATGAAAAACCACTAAGCCTGAACATAGTCTTTATGATCACTTGGTCAAAAGTGACTTTTGACTAGGTCAAAACTAAGCGTTTCTCATGTATGAATCCATGATGATCTCAGGTCAAAGGGCACAGTGACATGGTTGTATATGAGAGAAGCTTATGACTTAACCCATGCAGCTCTCTCATAGCGGGTCGGTCCAACACCTTGTACTCTTACATGTGCCTATGACTTTAATTTATATCTCCATATATCTTTAAAGTCATACTGGTCTTATTTCATCTTTGCTCCCACATAGATGACCGACCAGGGACATTTAGGATAAACCATGAGTTATCCAAGGATAGTTATCACAGTAAACATGCAAATAATAATGATAACGTAATTAATAAACTCATAATTAACAATGTTCAAAACATAATGATTGGCCCCTAGGGCACAATTTCCAACAAATAGAAGTTTTAAATGTCACATTTTTGTGGTATTATATTGATTATTTATGTTCTGCAATAACTGCAGTTGGTGGAGTCATGGCCTTTTTAACACTGCATGAAATGCTGCCATTGGCATTTGATTATGCGGGACAGAAGCAATCTGTTAAGGCCGTGTTTTGTGGGATGGCTTTCATGTCCGCAAGGTGACAAATCTCATTGCTTTATAAATTACCATTTGATGAGATGATGCTATTGTTCGAATTTTATGAATTCTCTGCTAAGGTTTGAAGTAGTGGTGTGATTCATGTTGTTAAGTATTGAAGGGAGCAAAATTCCCTTTCATGCTTGTTAACTCTAGATACCAAGCGAAAATCATGTTGGAAGGGTGAAAGAAATTGTTTTGTGGAAAGATGGTGCACTTATGTTGGCCACATAGCATTGGGTCACCTCAGTTTTAAATTTCCTGGTGCTATTATTCTTGGTCTGTACTTTGTCCTCAATGTCCATTGCCTTTGGTTTCTTCAGTTTTCTTTTTTTGGGTGTGGGTAGGGGTGCAGAGGGGCTGGCTTAGAAAACTATCTGGATTTTTTCGTTCAAGGAGTTAGAATTAGCTGGGGACCTTGATTTTGTGGCCTGACATTGTCAAAACATATTTCTTGTGAGATTACCAAATAAGCAATATATTATCTTCTTCTAGTTCCTCTCAACAATGTCTTGAAACTTAAAAATGGGGTACAAGAAGTTCATATTCTGCTTGCTTTTTCTTAACTTTATCCATGCCTAGTATTCTGCTTGCTTTTCTTTCATACCAATCTTTGCCAGTAAGCTCATGTTTCATTAACATTACTGGATTTGCAGCCTATATTTTCTAAGCATCAGTTTACCAGAGGATATGAACTTGTAGCTGGGAACATGTGTCTTCCAAATGAGACGCATTCTCCCCGTGTGTGATTGAGGTGTCCGTGTTGACATAAACTGCATAGTAGCATTATCCCATCTGATTTGAGACGCCTGGGCTGTCAATAAGAAAGGCAAGAATGTACAGTCATTTGCGGAGGATATCAGACAATCAATATGGAGATGCATCTCCGACTTCATGATTTACCTTGAAGAAAGATGTACAGAGAATTTGAAAAATACCATCAATAATATTGTAAGCCGTCTGTAGTATTTTATTAAACCTCCTATTCTGCGTAAGATGTCTTTAATGTAACTGCATAAGAATGCCATTACCTGTTTAGCCATCAACTTTCTTAAACTGCGCTGTTAATGAACATTTGAAGGATAATGGCATAATTGTTAATCCATAAGATTTCTTGCCTCCATACTTGATTTTCTTGAAATTCTCCATTTTGCTTGAAAACCGGACTAGCTGCGTGAAGCTCTCAATTAAGGAAGCGGCGCCAGAACTTTTCGATCAAGGGCGGTAACGTTGTCACTTACAGAACTAAGGCATCTGAGACTGATATGCTTTTGACCTCCAGACTCACTAGCTTTTCCCCTCGCCCCGTTTTTCTCCGGCTTCTTTGTTTTGGATCTTGTTTTGATCAGGTTCACGAGCGTTGAGCACAACGAAATGGCTGTTATCTCAGTCCGCTCAACATTTTCGGCAGTGACCGAACAAGCCAGCATTTTGTAAATTTACGTCATGCAGACAATTAATTAAAATATATAAGAAAAACTCCGATGACTGATTCACATCCCAACAGACGCCCTCTGTCATTTTATATTTATTAAACTAGAAATAAATGTGTCTCGCGGAGTATGAATCGAGTTATATATTATTCATAATCAGCATATAATATGGGCATCTATTACTAACTAAATAGTATTTATATTAATCTTTATTCCCATCATTTTGCGTTGCCCCGAAATTCCTTATTCTCGTGCCTTTGTATCAACAAACTACATGAAGGCGAAGAGTTGAGTTGGAATTTGTGTCGTAGAGGACTGCTGGATCAGTTTCTGCAATGAACTCCATCAATGCCCCCAGCAAATTCTATATAGTGGAAAGCAATTTTGGATGAAAGCGTCTTCCCATTAACTCACACAAACGCATTGATTTAGGAGACAAATTAAAGGCTACTTCCTCCCACTGCGAGGCTAGGTCCCGGATGGACCTAGACGACAACATGAGCTCTATTCCTTAGCTACAAATTGCTCCCTAGCTATTCATATTCACGAAAGAGATAGGGTTCCTGGAATTAATATAGATCGGATAAAGTGCCACACAGAACAATTGACCCAAAAAGTATTGCAGCACGCACATATTCATGTATGATACTTGATTGATTTTTTTGGCCAAAAAAAAGACCAAAGAAGACATTTGGTATTGAGACTTTATGATCATTATTTTTTTTGGGGGACCATATAGTAATTTTCCCATCAAACAAGTCGAATATCTTAAAAAACTATGGCCAAGCAGAAACTAAAGGCACTTACCGGAAGCGTGGGTAAATCTTGTCTCTTGTGGAGGCTGCTACTTAGGTCAGGAGGGTTGGTGTGACGGATTGACGCTACTCTGTAATCCATTCACACACAAGAAAAGTAAAAGAACCCAAACTTCATTATTAGTTATCGATTTCATCACCCATTTCACTGTTCCGCTTAATCTTTTACGGTAATCTCTCTTCATTACTACAGGCCAAAAAAATCTCTCTTCATTACTCATTCGCCTCTCAACCCCAGCAGTTGCAAACAACGCTCTTGCCAAAGAAAAAGAACCCCCAGCAACAAAGTTGTTATTTTTATTGTAATTTTGCTGTGAAAAGTGGAAATAACAACATAGTACAGTTGGACTTCCACACTGCTGAAGCACACTACAGATTATACTCTGAATAATCCAAATACACTGTACTTTTTGAAATGACATTTCAAGAGCCCCCATCCATCACTGCTGCATTTCAGATCCAGTGCGTCCCTCCTGTTATGATTACGTTTCCCATTTTTTTAAAAACGGAACCCTTTTTCTCTTGAATTCCTCATCATTTCAACGGAATCATTACAGCGAGTCGGCAACGTAGTATATGATGTGTCCATCACAAAGGAAATGGCAGTATCATTGCCTCCTAAAGCTGACCCCATGACACACGTTCATGAGCCTTAGGCAACTTGCTTTTTGCTCCTTCCTCTCATTATTTTATTCTTTTCTCACACTTTAATTACGACCCCTTAGTTTCTTTTCCATCAATGGGTATCGCCCCCTATACTGATTACCTTCAAGTCGCTTCTTTGAAACCTTGGATCATACTCCTTCGCATTTAAGAGTGTTTGGTAACCTGCAAATTATAGTTTTAGAAGGATTTTTTTTTTTGTAAAACGAGACAAACTCCACCACATATTTACTTTGTAAGCTGTAAAAGCATTTCTGAAACTATGGTTTGATTTCTATCCAAACACCCAGTTTACAATTAACGTTCCATTTGAAACTTTACAACCGATAGCAGTTAACCGAGCTGAGAGACCCTAAAAACACTTTCTTTTTAATTCATAGTCTTTGTTAGCATATACTATATTCCTAACATACATCGTGTACTCACGGTGCAGATTCTGAGCGATAACAACGCTAGCTAGCTGGCGAGAGCAAACCTTTTTTTTTTTTTGGCCAAAGGCGAGAGCAAACGTTGGATGCACATTATATAAACCTTTTCAAATTGAGTATCTTTGGCATTTGAGTATGTGTCGAGATCGATCCTAGCATCAATTTATCTCTGGGTTACGTTTGGAGCAAGAGAGACGTGGATAAAAGGAAACCGAAACCCAAAAGGAACAAATTTGCTTCATTAATATGCTAGTCATGCACAAGTCCAAAAGTCGAAAGCAAAAATTAGTTCAATGTGAGAAACCACAGCTAAAGCTCCTGACTAATTATACAAAGTGGCGGAATTAACCCATAATACAATTAGTTATGATGAGAATGAAAGGAGTCATTTGGGTGGTCAATTTCAGAGGGCACTTCATCCTGATGGAGACAGTCAACACCACAAGGCGTGTGGGTATGTCCGAAAGCCTTGACATGATCCTTAAGAGATCTTTTATGCTTGAAGTCAGAGCCACAGGAGCAATACCAGAGTTTGCCACAGTTCTTCTCGTGAGTTCTCCAATCACCTCTCACTGCAAATGCTTTGCAACATTTTCTACACATGAAAGGCTTTATCCCGTGCTTTCTCTTGTAATGGGTTTGAAGGGTTCTGAAGTCTTTTAGAGGTTTAGCTCTGGGATGCTCGATGTTGTTCTTGCACCCAGGTGCACAACAATAGCATGGAAGCCTCAGCATTGCTGTTGGCTGTGTCCCCCTTAGAGACTCTGGTCCCCTTCTGTATTCAGATCCATGCCCCCACATATGCATCTACACATCAACACTGATCGATCTTAACAAAAGCAGTTCCATGCATCAATTCTTCAATTCAGTGGATCTGAACTAAAATCTGTGGCTGATAAGTGAAACAATTAACATGTAATTGCTAATAATTACCTATAATTAGGTCTATGCGACGTGACCGTGTCGTTTATTTTTAAACTAATTTCCAATGTCGGCCAAGTTCTGGAGTCAGAAGGCTGGCTATACCTAGCTGCTAGCGCTAGCCAGAAGGATGTGTGAATCGCATCCTTTCTCAACACGTTTGATCACTTATTTCATGGAGCATAAATGAAAAGGCAACGGTGTAGGGTATCCTTATAAAGGAAAAGTTGGAAAAGCTGAAAACGATTTGGAACACTGTGCCTCTATATCTTTTGGCTAGCAATAATGGTCACCTATTTAGCTTAATATGCTTTTACTTGAAGTCGTTCTCATTTTCTGCCTCCTCGGTGTTCAGATTGTTCTTGGGTTTAAACTTAGATCTCATATTACATTAAACCCTAGTGAGCGATTATCCATCTTTGGACACCTCAAGTTTGTACTGCTGAACAAAGTGGGGGACACGCCAAAGTATTAATTAACAAGGTGCATGTCGGTACGTAGAATAGTTCAGCGGAAATAGAAATATACCTATGTAGGTGTGAATATACGTGAAACAGACCTAAAGTATATAGAATAGTTTCACAAAGAGGGAATAATGCGATCTTGAGTAAAAGAGGAAGTAATGGAAAACCCTAAAACGGACAAAGACTTTAACAAATCTAACACCTTTAATTTGGTTAAATGAAGCCATGACATACATAGGTGAAAACTTTGAATTAGGCTCTTCTCTTTCACAGCAAATGTTCACGAAAAGTAAGATGAGAGATCGAGGAGGGAAAAGGAAAGGGAAAGACACCCTTTCTTTCAATCTTAAAATATTTCTCTCTCCTCTTGAGAGAATGAATAATGAATGTTGAGCAGGATGGAAGAGGACAAACCTGCATGTTGTTGTATCTGTTGAAGGTCTTGAAACAAAGAGGGCAGGAGAACTGTGTGGGACCAATCAGAATCTGAGCTGGGTAGGGATCCAATACTGACCGCCTGGAGTGATCCTATCAGAGAGATACCCAGAAGATACAGTTGTGACTTCGTCTTTGTCTGAAACTGTCTCTGAGGAGCATAGGTTCGAATCAGCCAAGTCAGGCGATGAACTGCTTGGGGTTGGAAGGCCGAGGTGTAACTGCAAAGCCAACGTCACAGGATCATCATTCAAAGAACCACACCCCGTGCCTCCTTCTTTCTGCTTGATGTCTACTTGCATATCATCTTCGTCATGTCTTGGAGGGCTTAGGTTAAGGAGAGGTAGGGCTTCTCTCGGAGGAGGAGAAGAGGGTAAAGCGAGAGATGACGAGTTAAAATGAGCACAAGGAAAGTTAAAGGAGGAGGAGAAAAGGAAGGGAGAATTGAAGGCTTCGGGGCAGTAGGGGTCGGTCATGTTAAAAAGTGGGAACCAGGGAAGGGAGGTTCAAAGGCTAGGTTTGTAAAATGCGAGAGAGTAGAAGGAAAGGAAACTAAAGGAAGTGGCAGTGGAAGGAGAGATAAAAGGGAATCATTAAATAGTAAAAGTGAGATGCATGAAAGATCCATGAGAGAGAGAGAGAGGAAGCATGGGCAGAAATCCAATGTGGTTGGACCCATTCAATTGAAGCAAAAAGGCAGCGACAAGAAATCACTTTGCGAACTGTGACCTAACCTAATCACAATATGGAGAATGCTTGATCAGGCAAATCGGGAATAGCTGGAGTGATGATTCAGGTATAGTGTGGGAGCAGATGAAAGATATATATATATATATATATATATATATATGAATGATCATTCATGAGCTTGTCTTGGGACTTGGAATCAACTTATACGTCTACAGTAGTCATTGTGATTAATCTAACAACGTCTTTTTTGAGAGAATGTAATGAGCTTATTAAAAAAGAAGTGCATGGGTGAGAGGCTTCAGTGTGAAATTCACGTCATGGGGAATAGAAATAGCTGGGAAGCGAAGCAGCAAATGCTTTGGCCTGCACGCCGTGGGTCGGCTTGGCTCCCCAAACAGCACAGAGACTGTGTCTGTGTCCTCTGTCTGCCCGGCTGCACTCTTCACTCTCTCTCCTCTTTCTCTATCTTTTGCAGATCACTCTCTCTGGGGATCCGCTTGTCTCCTTCACTCTCTCCGGGGCCAAACGGAACAATCCGTTCCGCTGCGGATCACACCTCTTTGTACTTCACCCAATTTCTTACAATATCCTCCCTCTTTCAAACATCCTCGTAAACAGATATTTATTACTTAATTAAACGCACGTTTACCTACAGGTAATTGAAATTATGTTATGAAAAAAGAGGTAAGTAATTTTAATATACACTTAAGCACATTTTAGGAAAAACAGACATTAATTACCCTTGAAAATTTGCAAAATATCTCATGTGACTTTCCAAAACTCGCCTTGTATTTGAAACAGATGCAGTTTGTTGCCTCATATGCCTATGTACATGCTCCTACCCTCTGAGTGTAGACATGAATAAAAAGTGCGGATGATTTAATTAGTTGGATCCGCCGTGAAGATGGCCTCATGAGTCAAAAGGGGTCATCATGATTCACGTCCGTCAACTTTTATTCTCTTTCTGCTTTGCCCATCCGTGCCATCACTGCGGCTCGGCTTTTCTATGTACCGATAGCAGGTTTTATTAATTAAACTTAATTTCTAGCCAAAAAAGAGTCTGCTACATCTATTTTAGAAGTTAGAGGATACAGAAACCAAAATTTTAAAAGTACTTTTACATTATAAAAAATAAGTATGTAAAAAAATTAATCTCATTTTACAAAAAAAAATTAAAAAAAAAAAACTTTTTCTTCTCACCAAACCCTCGTTAATGTCGTCACAAGTTGCTTTAACTTGGTGTGTTTCGTGTTGTCTATTTCTTAACCTGACGTACGTTACTTTCGACTCTCAATGCATTTGACCATTCGATCAAACAAACAAACAAATAAATATAAACATCTGGGTGGGAGAATACGTGCAAGTCAGAACTTGACACACGAGATCTTTGTCAATGGCACAGCAGTTCAAAACCACCAATGACATGTGAATGTTGAAAATATGGATTACAAGAATATTGAATATACGATATTGTCTCCAAAATTCCAACAGCATATGTACAGCAGAGGACGAGGGGAAGAAGTCAAAGAGTCCCTATTCTAAACTGGGAAGAGACATGCCCCAGCCTTGGCATGCTCACCAAGGCGCTGTGTCCCCAACAGTGAACCAACCTCCCTCCTTGGAATCAAAATGGAAGCAAGCCATTTCATGCGAGGCATTAGCAATCTAACCGTTAAAAGAAGCCATCAGGACAGCTAATTAATATTGGGAAAACAAAAAGGCCATACGCTATTTCACAAGGATGACAAAGCAAGCTTTCGTGAGGACACGGGGAAGAACAAAGTGGGCTCCGGGCGGCAGGCTAAACGTTTAGTTTCTATGACCGACTCCGAAGTGAAATCTCCTTTCACGATTACCATTAAAGGCATACTCAAGACGCAAAGGACCCAATGGAGAATCCACACGGATCCCAAACCCATATCCGCATCCGCTCCCAGGTTTCAGCCTTGCTCCAGCAGGGTCACCTTATAAAAACCAAAATGTGATTCGCAAACACATCTCCACAGAAAGGCATCAAAAGACTCAAATGTTTAATGGTTAAAATTGTTCAATTAAGACAATTTAGATATTGTGCCACTTGACTTGACTGTTGAATCTTAATACTAACCTAGCATCACTTGTCATATGTTTTATATCATATATTTCACAAAAATTAACAGTTGAGCCTACCAGGAACAGTTGAGCCTGATCCAAGATCTGTTCCATAGTCGGAAAATAAAACTCCTTCTACTGGCCTCAACTGCAAACAGAAACAGTATTAAGATCAGTGAACCAACTTCTCTCCAAACTTATTTTTCGCCAAATGCATGTATCCATGGGCATCTACAAAAACACGTTCAACAAATTCAAATACCATCGGGAAAGAAACTTCTCCAGAGCCAACAATATATGATCGACCAGAGCCCACAGCACCTTCTTCGTAGCCTCTCACACTATTTGTTCCGCCAATAGGGAATGCTTCAAAGGGAGAGAAATTTCCCACCACATGACCACCAGAGAGGCTACCAATGAAAATTAACAAATGCAAAATAGATCATTGGTTCATTTTTTGATAACAACAGATAATCTGCTTTTGTTTTACAGGGAAGACACATCATTCTTGTTCAAGAAAGAAGCACATTTATTCCATACCTTAAAAGAAAGCGAGTAGGACCTATCTCAATGCTCGTCCTAGCACGCACATTCGTCCTATTGAAGGACAACCACTCAGGCAAAAGAGGAAGTCCCTGTTCCATATTGAAGACAAGCTACAAAACCAAGCAAATAAAAGTGAGAATCAAGAAGAGAAATTTGCATTACAGGACAGAAGAGTATATAACAGACCATAGAAGACCCATGATCGCCAGAACCAGTGTAAACAGTCTCAAATTTAGCAAGCAACATGTCATCATGGGTATTTCCACTGCAGGGAGACATTGGCGAAAATATTAGAAACAAGAAACCAAAACAAATGCAGCATTTATTTTTAGGTTGCAAACCCTGCAGTGAGAGGACTACTGTAACCATCCTTGATGATAGGAGTCCCTTTGTCGTCACGAACCCCGGCATGCTGGAGTAAAAGCAATCATTAAAAGAAAAGGGAATACAACTTAGCTTATTGCTTATTCAGAAATGATTAAAAAATAGGAGGAAAAAACAACCACTCACAAAAACCAGCCTCGCTACTTAAATTGTGAATTTAAGTACCTGAAAAATAAGCCCTGCAGTTCCACTCCACTTTGGCCTGACAGGTCGACTGAACTCTATACCAGCTGTGACACGACCAATGGTCAGGCTACTATTATCAGGCTGGTTACCATGAACAACTGTTCCAGGGGTTCTTGAGTTCTAGTAAGAAGTAAAGGACATGCCAGAAGACACAACCTTTAGCTTAAAAGCATCAAGATTACAGAAGTTGAACAGGGACAAAATAAACCTTCAAATTACCTGAATCATTATTGTCCTAGATGTTCGTTTGTCATCTCCTTGAATCCAAGGGTCTGTGAAGTTTATCCGAAATATTGAGTCAATCTGACCCCTCTCCAAGGATATATTGAGTTTCTGGTTGCGTCCAAAAACATTCCTATGAGAATAGGCAAAGCTGCAATAATCATAGTATGAACGATTACACCAGCTGTATCAACTATTCAATCTTTTAAGGTGGAAATTCAGCAAACATTATAAACATAGATATCAATAAGAAACGCTTTTATTCGGTTGACAATACTAACAATGTACACATGTTGATGGAACCCAAGCTCAAAATGACACCAAAATTAGCAATAATCTTGCCGGAGTAAGAGTACAAGTCTAAGCAAGATGAGCTACAATTCTGAAAATAGCAACATTCACTCACTAAACACTTACCCTCATCTAACACCAAAACCCTACATTATAACTCGAGTTGGCTTGTACACATATTTATCAATGCCATTAAGCAGTATAAAGAGTAACAGAAGCCAGATAAATCAGCCTCAAAATGGCTTACATTGCAGCAAGGGAGCTTAGATTATATTAATAATAACATAGAAGGAAAAAATACGATGCTGCAGGATAAATCATCCGCTAATAACTTTACAGCAGCATGATGCAATGAGGCGTATGAGCTCACCTTCCAATAAGTCCAGACAGAGGACCACTGGTAATCCTGTGATCATAAATAACAGAGTTAGACCATGCAGCAGAGGAATTAGTTATTTAGTGTGTATTAACTCCATGAATGCATGCTTGAAATTAGTACGACTCACCCACTCGATATTCCACCACCTGCTGAAAATCCTCCACTAGGACGCTCCACCACATTCATCACCAAATCAACCTTCCCTGTATCTACAATATTGCAGAAACAAAATACGCTAGTTTCAAGGAACGGTTATACTGACAATTTACCTTCCTAATAGCTACTGAACTCAAATGAAGCCCATTTTTCATTACAATTTATTACCTGCTGGCTGAGGAATAATGCTAACATCTTCCATGATTCCCATAGTTAACACAGTGTCTACATCTCTTTTTCCCTGAATCATACTGTAGACCTACAATAAAATTGTATATTGTACCAAATTCCTTGTTAGTAAACACGCCAAATCAACCTGGCATATTTCCATGAACAAGACTCTCTACACGCAGGTATGCATGAATTAGAGTAGTAGATCAGCTGTTCCCTACAGAAAGAATTACTATAGACTGAAGAATGTTGATGACTTCACCCGTTAAAAAAAAATAATTAACTTCAAAAGGCCAGGAGATTCTCTCTATTTAGCTTAATTTGCACAGACATGGAAAGAACAAAGGTTCTTAAAAAAAGCAATCAACAGCTAACTCTCAACTCAAAATGAATTATTATCTTCAAAGTATTCGAGTGAGTACCTGCCCCTTCTTGGTTGTAATTTGCCTGAGTATTGTTTCTGGCTTTGTCTTCCCTAAAGTAGGCTCACCTCTGACAATAGCAAACTAAGTTACTAATAATAACTTAATAAAAATCAGATGAGAAGTTTTGTGGTTTTGTGACTGCACGTGTGCAGGCGAATTGAATTGAAGATCCTTACGTCTTCCTATCTAGAAACCGTATAGAGATGTTATTGACCTCAGCTTCTGAAACTTGCAATCTCAGAATACCCCCTGAGAGAGTCTCAACAGCTGAAACCTATAATAATGATTAAATGAGTGGGGAAATTAGAGTGGGGAACAACAACAACCATTATCCTAGTTGGAGCACAAGCTAAGCAGAGTTAAAGCCCATAAATATATGGAGCTAAAAGCACTTAAAAACAGGAAAAAGCTTATATTACCAGATTTTGGAGGATAAACAAAGATATGGTCAAAAAGGCAAGTTACCATAGCAAAAAGACCACGCTCCATATACCAGCCATTGATGGATGATATTGCTTCATCCAGTCGCCTTAGATTGATAACTTTCCCTGTACAAAGTAACATAAAATTGTTATGGAAGACTGCTATGAACAAAGAGTCATTTAATTTGCATATATATGATTAGAACTGCATAGGAAAGGATGAAGAAGAGTTACCATATCCATCCCGAAATGAATCCTCTAGAAACTTTGCTGGAAGAACATTAGCTCCTTCACATACCAAACCTTGGAACTCTTGATTTGCTTCTACCTTATGCCACAAGAAACCAGCAGTAATTATTAGATGCATGGGCAATTCATAGATTTCTTTGACCAATTTCAATGTAATTGGGGAAAAAAAAAATCTAATAAGCATTCTGTTAAATTAGATAAATGATGCAGGGTTTCTACTTCTGTGGGAAACATTTTCGCATTTCCAAAGCAAAAGTAAAACGCGACCATCTTTTAACTTCGTACCATGCATGCCTTAAAAGTAGAAAAACACAGCTTTCCCAGAACATTAAGGACGTGAATTTACTTATTTTACTACTGCAAAAATGTAAAGCACTCATGGTTTCCAGCTCATGATACTCACTACTCTTCTTGAACATGATAAATTTAATTTTTCTGGGAAGGTCAGTAATAAAGTAGAAAATGAACAAGGCTTTACTCTCTTGTAAACAAAGTTGGATATAGAAGTGATCAGTAAGGATAAAGATCCAAACTTTGGATACAGAGTCAAGTATGCAATCACTTGCAATTGAAGATCATGGCAACATATGACATTTTCGGTGAAACTCTAAATAAACAGAATTAAATATAAAACAAAAACAGTATGCCTCTTTTGCACTCGTACCTGAAATACCAATCTGATGCCATCACGGGTATCAACCGCAACTGGCATGCACGAGCAGAAATACCCACTATTAATGATGCGATGCACATCCTCTTGGACCTCGCGCACAGTAAGAGCAGAGTTGGGTCGGCAAGCTTTGAGGGCCTGAAGTGCCTCCATCTCAAGGTCCTTTCTCTCGAGCTCCTCTCCATCCTTGTTTCTAACAAGCACCTCACTGATCAGCACCCTCTCTTCGTTCTGTCGACTTGAAGCGTGCCCCTTCTGTGGTGTCTCCTTCCCTTCTGGCCCCGATTGGCTCGACTCCGCCAATGACAAGGAAGCTGAGCAGAGAATAGGTGACGTTCCTTTCAATGCTCCCTTGTCACCAGTCCCAGACCCACTCGAGGACAACGATGCTGAGCAGAAAAAAGACGATTTAACCCTTTCGTCCGAAACACTCGGGGCTGAACTAGTCCATTTCGCCTTCCGAGACAACAATGGAGGACTTTTCGGGTTAAAGTTATCAAGTTTTGAACGACTTCTGATAGAATCAACGAGTCGGGCTATTGGGTTTCCAGTGTGAAGGATTTGAGAACGTATGCTTTCGAAACAAAGGGTTGGGGTTTTGGGAGGATGGGGGATTTTAACGGACGACGAAATGAAGCGGACATCGTCATTTACATGCATTCTGGACTCGCTTCGAAGATAAAGGAAGATTTGAAATTTGAAATTGAAGCAAGGAAATGGAGAAGCCCCCACTGAAGCGGCGGGCAGTCGATGACGAGAAAGCCGAAGCTTCCTTCAAGCGTGCCAAGCTTCCGGTGAATCCCGGAGCTTCTTGGTTGCAATATGGGCCGGGCATGTGGATTCAGTTCCACAGGGGACCCGAGAAGTTTGCGAGGGAAATATTGCATGGAAATTGGAATTGGAATAATATATTACCCTATTTTATTGTTTCTTTATTATTTAACTCTGCACCCAAAAAATAAATAAAAACTCTGAAAATTTTACAAAGGCCTTGAGTTTGAATTCTATGATTGAGTGACTCGGGAAATTTGAAAGTATTGTTTAAGAATAAAATATCTGTTAAAACAAGATAAAAAACGGAAATTTATTTTAGGCTTTCATCTTTTATAGCCCAACCTGTCAGTAGAAATTAGTATGACAATGAAAGGGGATAGTCGATAGCCATTCCTAGAAAGGACACATAGCCCATTGTCATTATCGCAATGCTTGACAAGTTAATTAGCTGCCTTGTTAAGGGGGTGTTTGGCTTTTTTGGTTTGGCAAAAATTTTGCCAAACACCCCCATTTTTTTTAAAACCAAGGTTTTGGGCAAAACCTTGGTTTTGCCTAACAAAACTTTGGTTCCAGATAAGCAGGCCGGGCGCAGCTTCTAAGGAGGGACAATTATTGGCTACGGAGGGAACAAGCACGCGGGGGGGACTCATTCAGCATGCGGGGGGGTACTCATCAGCTCAAGGGGTACAATTATTTGGCAAAATAAATCATTTTTTAAAAACATATTTATTTATTTTATTAATATATACACACACTAATTTCTTATTATTTATGCCATATGTATTATGTTGCCAAAATATATATTATTAATAAATTTATTACTTCAAATAAACATATATTATGAAATATATATTATATGTAATTATCATTTAAACTTATGTTCTTTTTAGTAATTTCTACATATCAAAAAGCACTTCTGACAATAATTATCCAAACACTCTCACTTTATCAAAATCACTTTTCCAGAAAATCTATTCTTTCAAAATCTATTCTCTCCAGAATCTATTCTCCAGAAGCTATTCTGCAAAGCATGGTTTTGCTTCATCCAAACACCCCCTAAATTGACAGGGGAATCTATAAGAACAAGAGGGAAATTTCCCACTCTAAAAAAAAAAAATCAGCAGCCTAGATTTTTATTGACTAATTTAAATATATTAAGAAAATTTATTAAGTTAGTTATTTGTAATAAATATATGTTTTTTAAAATATCTTTACTAATAATATGTATTAGCTAGAACCACTATTTGATAAAATATTTAACATGTGTAACTTTTATAAGAACTACTTTAACAAAAATAAATCAATATAAAAGACAAAGTGGATCTGAACCTTATATTTATGATCAAATTAAAAATTAAATTAGTTTTTATATTAAAGACTGAAAATAGTATATTAGAAGAAAAACCAAAATTAAATTTAAAAATAAATAATGCAGGAATAGGTTTTTTTGGAAGAGAAATAAGGCATATGTACCCGCGTGGGCCTGAAGGCATCTGTACGCGCCATAGTCATGCAATTTGAAGGCACATTGGGCCAGGCGGCAGGCATCCAGACATGGGGAGTGATTTGGCGCGCCGCAGTTTATGAAGATGAGGCGTATAAGAGGCATGCCGTCAATATTTGGTGGGAACCGCTGGACGTTAAGGATTCGAATTTTTAAAAGAGAGCGGCCGCTGCTGTTCTAATGCGACAACTTCTCCTCGGTTCTCACGGAGCTTTCCCAGGCGCTTGAATTTGCAAATTCATTGCCAAACCTCCGATTGAAATCCCCCACTCATCAGCACCCGCTGCTCTTCTATTTCGGTAACCCTATATTCCCCTCCTTCTCTCTCCTCTTCTTTCTTAATATTCCAACTAATCTCTTCTGCGCGTCTTCACCTCCACAAATCCATTGCTCATCACCCTAACCTCGATTTCAGTACTGCTATTCTTCTGAGAAAAGATTTAATTTGCAGTCAAATTTGTAAACTCTGTGCTCTGATATTAGCGACCGCGGTTGCGCCACGTGTCCATAGCGGCTGAGGTCTCTAGTTTTTTGTCCCCCTTGGGGCCCCTATTGAGCTTAATTTTAACAAACCTCTCAGCGGTGCGCAGCCCCTTGCACGTTGTTACTTGTTAGGGGAAAGATTCCCATATATTGTTGCTCCGATCAACTCGTTAGTTTGTTATCACAGTAGCTTAAACCCCCCCTCCCTCCTGGCCGAAAAGAAACGTTGTTGCGGCCTTGCGAGTGGTCAACTTGTTATAGTTTCCGGTTTTGGTTCTTATTTCAGCTTTGATAGTTTACTTGGATAATTAGAGACGTGTGTATTGGCGGAATCTTTCTTTCTTTCACAGCTTTTTTTTTTTAATTTTAATTTTTGGGCCAGTGGCAGGTCGCGTAGGACTAAGGAGACGAGTACGACAGAGAACATGCTGTATATTTTGTTGCCTTAGTTTAGGCTTAAAAATAAGTGGCCATTATGCTACGTTTGTTGGTTTAAATGTTACCGAGCTTCATTGAGGACGGGTTTACCTGAAGGAGTACTGTGATCAAGCCATAGATGGCTCCGCTTTTTGTATCCATGATACTCGCGGGGATGGGCTCGTGTCCCGAGTTTAATAGTGTTCTGGGAGCGTATTCATCCTGCTATCCAGTTTATTTCTGGTCACTTATTTACTCTCTACGGAGGGAGCTCGATTCCTCTTTCATCCTCTGATTTATTTTCCTCTTGAAAAGGAGAGCTAACACCATGCTAACTTCAGTTCCCATCAAATCTAATTGCCTAACGATATCTTGGAATCATGTAAGGAGTCTATATAAGCTATGGAACCATATTTAATTTCATACGATAATTCTTGATCAGAAGAAAAATAAAAAGTCAGTCATGGGAAATTGAAAACAGGGACCGGCAATCTCATTGTTTTCATTCTTTTTGTAGAGCCAATGAACCCTCAGTCTCAGACGGCAATATCTGAAGCTAGTAGAATGCATGATCTTAAGATGCCGTTGTTGCAGACTCCCCAAGATGCCACGCTCCGGGAGGTTAAGTTTAGAATACAGGATATTACTTGTGCATCCTGTGTAAATTCAATAGAATCTGTAGTTGGAAACCTTGATGGAGTTACTTTTGTTACGGTGTCAGCAATTGATGGCAAAGCTACAATCAAATATCTGCCAAAACTTATTAGTGTAAGTCATCTTCTGATATGTTGAAAATTTAATTAGCTTGTAATATGTCAAAATGGTTTAGTTTTTTCCATATTAATTATTACCTCTGATCCTAAATATAAGATTTACTTTGTAGTACAAATTGCACTCCGGAGGTAGTATTTGATATATTGGCTGCATATTCGTCATATTTGCATAGCTGAAATCTGGATCAAGAAACAAAACATAAATTGGCGATTTTAACGGAAATTATTGTAGGTCAAGAAAATAAAAGAAACTATAGAAGAAGCAGGTTTTAGAGTTCACAAGCTTTCAGAGCAAGACATATCAGTATGTAAGGTCAGGATTAAAGGAATGGCGTGCACAAGCTGCTCTGAATCTGTTGAACGTGCTCTTCAAAGGGTTAATGGTGTGAAAAAAGCAGCAGTAGGCCTGGCTTTAGGAGAAGCAAAAGTGCATTTTGATCCTACTCTCACTGATATAAAGAAAATAATTGAAGCAATAGAAGATGCTGGCTTCGGAGTTGATCTCATTAGCTCGGGGACTGATGTGAACAAAGTGCATCTAAGACTTGAAGGACTTGATTCTCCAGAGGATGTCAATGTTGTAATGTCATCTCTTGAATTAGCTAAAGGTGTAAATCATGTTGAGATGGACTTGACAGAACGTAAAGTTACAGTTTCCTATGATCCAGATGTTACAGGTCCCAGATCTCTCATACAGTGCGTTCAAGCTGCTGCTCATGGCCCCAGTGGATATCATGCAGTCTTGTACTCTCCTTCAGGACAAAGAGAAACAGGGAGCATGAATGAAATTCTTATGTACAGGGACCAATTTTTGTTTAGCTGCATATTTTCAGTTCCCGTGTTCTTATTTGCCATGGTACTTCCCATGCTTCCTCCGTATGGCAACTGGTTGAACTATAAGATCCATAATATGTTAACTATTGGAATGTTTCTAAGATGGATCCTTAGCACGCCTGTTCAATTCATAGTTGGCAAAAGGTATTGGATGAGTCATATGATCTGTTTCTTGCTTTTGTTTAAATGATTTTATTTAAATATTTATTTGATCTTAATTTCTTTTTACTCTTGCATAAGCCAGCATATGACTGACTTTGCTTTCAATAGAGCTATTTCATTAGCTTGTTGTTTATAATATGATGATTAGGTTCTATCTTGGATCATATCATGCACTGAGGCGAAGATCTGCTAACATGGATGTGCTGGTTGCACTTGGCACTAATGCTGCGTATTTTTACTCTATTTATATTCTAATAAAAACGCTCACTTCAGTAACATTTCAAGGACAAGATTTCTTTGAGACCAGTTCCATGTTAATATCCTTTATTCTCTTGGGAAAATATTTGGAGGTTGTGGCTAAAGGGAAAACATCAGATGCTTTAGCAAAGTTGACACAACTTGTTCCTGACAAAGTTTGTTTATTAGCCCTAGACGCTGATGGGAATGTCATCTCTGAGACAGAAGTCGACACTCAACTTATTCAAAGGAATGACATAATTAAAATCGTTCCTGGGGCCAAAATTCCTGTCGATGGCATTGTTCTAAAAGGGCAAAGTTATGTAAATGAAAGTATGATCACAGGTGAGGCAACACCAATTGATAAAAGCCCGGGAGACAAGGTATTATTTATGTAGTATGCCACCTAGTTTATGTTAATTTTAATTATAATGAAACCATGAGCACCCTGAGACATAACGGATCAAGACAAAACCATAAATGGAAAAGGGTGGTGTCAGTATTCAATGATGAGACTTCTTAGGAGGACAGATAAAACTGAGTCAGAGAGTGGGTTAACTTTTGACACTATCCAATTTTCCATAAACAGGTTATTTGGTTTGACCTTATAGATGTAAAAAATTATATTGAGAATGCTACCTTTCATTTTCCTTAAATTATGGAAAATGTTCTTAGCCTAGCAATGCTCAAATTTTAAGTTATTGGTAGTATTAGATAACAAACAATTGTTATACCCAAAAAGGAAATATCATTTACCTTTTCTTTTTACCTTTTTATGGGAAGGGGGATGTATGAAATGATGTGTCATCATTATTTTTGTCCCAAGCTTTGGTTACATATTGTTTTGAAGATGGCAATTTTGAATGGTGAGAACTTTTTCACTTTCGCTTTGTGCTGAACAGGTTATTGGTGGGACCGTGAATGAGAATGGCTGCTTACTGGTTAAGGCCACACATGTTGGAATGGAAACTGCACTTTCTCAAATTGTTCAACTTGTAGAAGCCGCTCAACTTGCTAAAGCACCGATTCAAAAACTTGCTGACCGAATTTCAAAATTTTTTGTTCCAATAGTGAGCTTTTTTTAATTATTCCGTCATTGTTTCTTTTTTTTTTCCCCTTCAAGGAATAAAGCATTGATGGCGTTTATGATTGCAATTTTAGGTGGTTGTTGCAGCATTCATAACCTGGCTGGGATGGTTCATCCCTGGTGAAGCTGGCATTTACCCTAAGTATTGGATACCAAAAGCTATGGATGCATTTGAGCTTGCTTTGCAGTTTGCTATTTCGGTTCTTGTTGTTGCCTGTCCATGTGCTCTGGGTCTAGCAACACCAACAGCAGTCATGGTTGCTTCAGGTATGGGTGCTTCTCAAGGGGTACTTATCAAGGGAGGAGATGCACTGGAAAAGGCACACAAGGTAATGGTCCTTTGGTTGCAGTTACACATAATTGGGTTTTAAGATCAAGGGCAACGTTATACGTTATTTCTGTTTTATCTACATTAACATTTGACATAATCTAGTAAATATTAGCTGGTTTTTATTTGATGCTACCTTATTTGCCTGGAATTTACATTGTTCTTGATGCAGGTGAAAGTTGTTGTGTTTGATAAGACAGGGACACTTACCATTGGAAAACCAGAGGTGGTCAGTGCAGTGTTATTTTCTGAATTTTTGATGGAGGAGTTATGTGACATGGCCATTGCTGTGGAGGTACTTGTTTAATTGTTGCTCGCTGTACTTGTATGGAGATTTGAATCTTTGGTGTAGTTTCGTTGTCTTTGATATATTAGGAGCTTTTGTCAGATTGGCAATAACTAGTGTGTGGTCCCCCAATTTCGATATTAAATTATGAATTATGCTAGGCAATACCATTTCCTCTTCATTTTATTTGTTTGAAAAATAATACATATAACTAGGGAATGGTCCCTAGATTTTGTCATTATTATTCAATTCTCACAATTCGAGATGAAAAACAAAAAGAAGAGTTCTTACCATTTGAAGATTATGTATTGATGCTGATGTTTTTCAACCTAATTATATTTTACTTTTCCAAAACAAATCCTTGATAAGTAATATAAATATCTCATTGTTTCTACAAATTTAGGCAAGCAGCGAACACCCAATAGCAAGAGCTGTTGTGGGTTATGCAAAGAGGCTGCGCCAGAAGTTTGGGTCTAGTGCTGAGCAAGTCTTTGATGTGAAGGACTTTGAGGTGCACATGGGGGCCGGGGTAAGTGGAAAAGTTGGGGGGAGAACAGTTTTAGTTGGGAACAAACGACTAATGCATTCCTGTAACGTTTCAATTAGTCCCGAGGTGGAAAGGTATGTTTCTGAAAATGAAGTTCTGGCTAGAACCTGTGTGTTAGTTTCAATTGACGGAAAGATTGCTGGAGCTTTCTCTGTAACTGATCCTGTAAAGCCTGGGGCTAAGCGCGTGATATCTTTTCTCCACACCATGGGCATATTAAGCATCATGGTGACTGGTGATAACTACGCTACCGCAGCTGCTATTGCAAATGAAGTTGGTATTGACAAGGTCTTTGCTGAGACTGATCCACTGGGGAAAGCAGATAAGGTTAAAGACTTACAGGTAACGCTTGTGGCTATATTCAGTTGTACTTGAAGAGATATGACACGACGCCTTCATTGGATGGCATTCTCTAAATCTATGTATTGGTGTTGTTGACACAATGTGATTACTGGTTAATGAACAGAAAATGATGCATGAATACTTATATTTGAGGTGATGTGTCTGATTTATTCTACTGAAACCGGGTGCAGATGAAAGGTATGGTGGTGGCGATGGTGGGCGATGGAATCAATGACTCACCAGCTTTAGTTGCTGCAGACGTGGGTATGGCAATTGGTGCCGGAACTGACATAGCCCTAGAAGCAGCCGATATAGTTCTGGTCAAAAGCAGCTTAGAAGATGTGATTACAGCCATAGATCTCTCGAGAAAGACCATGTCTCGCATCCGTCTCAACTATATCTGGGCTCTTGGTTACAACATTCTTGGCATGCCAATTGCTGCCGGCATCTTGTACCCCTTCACCGGAATCAGGTTGCCCCCGTGGCTTGCTGGTGCTTGCATGGCTGCTTCTTCTCTTAGTGTTGTTTCTTCCTCTCTCCTGTTGCAGCTCTACAAGAAACCTTTGGACGTGGGATCCACTTGATGCTCTCCCGGGACAATTTTTCAAATACATGAAGGCGAGTTCCGATCCACCGTCCATAATAATGGCACCTATTAGCCTTTAAGTTGTAACTATCAGCCGGCTGATTGATGCCATTTTTCCCTAAGTGGATTTTTGGTCATTCGTAACTAGTGATTTCCATTTCAAATTGGCTGTCGGTGCAATGAATAATTTTATTATGAATAACAATTTTTCTCATGACAAGATTTTTATTTAATATAGAAATAATACTCCTCCGGTCCTTAATATAAAACGCAATTATTAAGTTAGTTTTGATCTTAAATATAAGACTTATTTCTCATATTTATCAATTTTTTCTAAATTACCCCTATGAATACTCCCTCAAACATAATCAAGTAAAAGAGAAGGAGTGGGTATTAAGAAAGATAATTATGGTATTTTAGGAAAAACATTACATTTCTTATAATTAATTAACTTATCTAACTTCTTTAATCTAATCAAATTAGTTAAATGGGTCTTATATTAAGGACTGGAGGAGTAATTCAATATTTGATATAATTACTCTAACGATATTTAGTGTCGGATTCATTTTTATAAGATAAGTGGAAAAAATAAAAAAGGCAAACTAATTTTCTTTCAATAACAAATAAATTCTGATACAACCTTATTAGTTTGAGCTTTTAATATGAAAAAAATTTCAAAAAACATGCTCTGAAATTTCAAAATTTTAAATTAAGAAGGACTATAAAAATATGTTATCATTTGTTTTTCAAATGTTGTTAAGTGATATTAAAGTATAGTGAGTAAAAGTAATTTAAAATTTTAAAATTTAAAGGTATTTTTTTAAATATTTTTTCTTTTAATTTTAATATTAGGTGTCGTATTTAGATTTTAGCCACGAAGGAAGTAGCAAATTAACACGTGAGAGGGCAAACTCAATCATCTCCAAACTATCTATCATATGGTGATTTCTCTAGAAATTCAGTCATCAAAAGTTCTTGCTGTGTTGTTCAGATGAACAAGCATACGTACGGCTCGACTAATTTTTGTGAGGCACATTACTTCATTAATATTACTATTATTTGCGGAAAAACTGAGAATAATTAAGAGAAAATCATTGTGTGATTCTAATAAGGAAGGAATATAATTACCACGTAATTAGTAAATAACAAATTTCAGTGTACTAAATTAAAAGTTTCATGGTGCTCACTTAAGTTGTTCGGTGAGAATTTTGATAATTATACTCTTTTCTAAGGAGAGCATAATAATTTCTCTCAAAATTAAACCGAGCATAATGTTTTTGAGATGTAAGAGGAAAGGTGATGGACACAGCGCAGTGCGGAATGGACGAAAAGAACAAGAATAGTTAAATGAAAATAATGCGAAGCCTGCCTGCGGACTTGGTTGGAATTAACTTTACAAGGAGGGGTGAGAGGATATATGATACAGAAGATTTACTTACAAAAAAGTACAACAACATTATATTGTGCATGGATCTATGTATATCATCTGGGAAGAAGGGTCTCCTTCATTGGATCTCCTGGGGGTGGCTTGGAATTGTCAGGTGGGGATGACGATGATATAAGAATTTCCATGACGATGGTGACGAGAACCAGCAACAGTGCCGCAACTAATATGCCTTCCCGTGAGGTCAAGAAGAAGCCCGCCATGGCCATTAGCGGCCCCACAACGCAGCACCAACATATCACAACCTGTTCCATTATTCCAACCAATTCAAATCTCTCTTATCAAACTATTAATTACCATAAAATATGAAATGCCGTAATTAATTAACGATATATATGTTACCACTAAAGATATCTTAGGCCGCCCGATGTCGTGCATTTCTTGTTCGCTGAATATGCCGGTTGTGCGATATCTCTCCAGTGCGGCATCCTGACATTTTACCCAACAAATCAAAAGTACTGAAAATTGTGAGCATTGTATATAGTCCTCCACACGCATATTTGAAACCCATCCAACCACAGTGAGCAATAAATATGCATTGCTTGCTGAACCAGATCGATTGCTATATATATACCTTGCTCACAAATTGGTCCTTACACCATTGTGCAATGCCATCAGCTGTTTCTGGCAGTTCCTCCATTGAGTGACGTCTGAGTTCAACCTTCACCTATATATACAGACATGCATCAGCACTTGAATTAATTAGAAATCTCATCTGCGTTACCAAGTTTCTATCAGACCATCATCACATGTCGAATTGCAATGCCAGTGAATTCATCTCATTAATTTCGCGTCTTTGACAAGGGGACGACAAGGGTCCGCAATTGCGTCGGTTAAAAAGCAGTTTTTCCTTCCTTTATGTTTTGAAGGATTACATATATGCAGAATATATGGAGAGAGTATTTAAATAAGGACCAGGACATGTAATTAAGGATATCTTCGAGGATTTGCCAAGACTCGCAGTATGTATGCCTACCGAGCCAGAAATGCCTTGAAACATTCTCGAAAGTGTGGGTGAAGGCTGGCTTTTAGGAATCGCAAAAGTGAAATCATATATAGCTTCTATGAACGTACGCGTTCCTGCTACCGCCGACACAAAGCCCTGCCCAAAAATACATAATGCCCAATTAATCTTTCAAACAAAATCTACTCTGAAGCTTTTATATATTTATTCTAGCTGTCCCATATTTTTTGAAAAAGAATACAGTAAATTAACATTGAGTTAAAATAAATCGTGTAGGGTTTCAATCATTTAATTGTAAGATTTATACCTATTTTAGACATGTACATATGTTTTAATTTCCAAAGACAAGATACCTTTTCAAATCCAGATGTTCGAAGAAGAAAGGTGCTAAGGAAAGTCCAGAGTTGGCCCCGATATTTGACAATTAATTAACAGCTACGATATTGGTGGATCCTATAATTTATTGGCTTTATATATGCTTGAATCTCCAAAAAGTTAAAAGCTTAGGGTTTAATCTTCTATATGTGCTTGAATCACTATAAAGTTTTTCCGAGGAATAGTTTTCTATTGATACCGTTGGCCCAAAAAAAAAAAAGTTCTATTAACCAGATCGCTTAATTCACCTTAGTACGAGGGACCAAAACATTTCTAGGAATAGGCAACCCTTTGGAAACCGCAAACTCTTGCGCTGAGAGAAGCTTTGACTCTGTAAAGCGAGTTCCTTCCACAAAAAGAGCCAACCACAAGGGCATGGGAAAATCCTCCAGCTGCTCAAAACTTGACTGCTCATAAAAATATTGTCACTATATATGTATTTATATATATCAATGAGACATCAAGAGAAAATTGAGTCAAATTCTTGGTTTAATTATCCCATTTGGGACAACACAAACAGAGATACCTTCAATGTTGCTTCATCCTTATCCCATCTTCTCTCCAGAAAGACATAGTCATTAAACCACATTGACCAACCTATGACCTGCATGAAGACGCACCCCGAATGTAGTGAGATCAATAAAGCTAATTAAAATTTCAATTCATCATTGTAAGTATGACGCTGGCTGAAAGAGAAATTCGCGCTCGCGCAAAGAGACTGCAGGCAGAGAGGAATAGGGATATAAAAAAACTCACTGGAAGGTATTTCAATTCTCTCTTCAACATAGCAACAGTACTACCAAGGCAACCAGTTCGCTGCCACAAGTTAGAAAGGTGCAATACAAGAGATAATCAAACTACTGTGAATCAAATATAAGGACTTAATTTAAACTCAACTTTACCCTTTTAATCTAGGTTTAATTAATTAATGGCAACTGCAGTTATACAATAAAAATTGAAAAAAGACTTCTGCATACTGGAATAAATATACAGACAATATGCACCTGAGCTAAGACCCATCCAACAAGCCAATCAATATCACTCCTGTGGTTGCAGATAAGAAGGGCATTCTCTTTACCTAAAATTTCAAGATTGTTATTTTATGAGATCTCTTCTCTGGTTCATATGTATGCATGCATGCATGTAGTTAACTTTATAATCACGAATGGATCGTCTAAGTACCCATCAGTTGATTGTAGGTTTCTGAATCTGTGTGCAGCTCAACCTGCAAGAAAGATCGGATTCAACCAGTTACACAACAGGATGAAAATTAACCTAATTTATACCTAAAATCATTAGCATCTCAAGTCAAGAAATAACTGCAAGAAAGGCCTCAACAGTGATGACGACTTGATTCTTCCCGCATATGTACATTGACTTTGAAATGGGGGTTAACATTCATGTGTATGTGCACGTGTGTGTCTGCATCCGCCAAGCATTACCTCTCCCTTCCTTTAATTTCTGAGTTAATATATATTTTCTCACTCGCATAAGTTTATAAATCCGAAATTCAATCCCTCGTCCTCATCATTTTCTCGAATGAACCGCGGTACCAGTTACATTGTCTCCTTTATCATTTTCCTGTTATTTTAGTATTTTCAATAAGCAGGTAATTATAAAGGCAAATTAACACGAAGGACTAATTAAATACGAATAAAAGATGGAGTAATCAGGATACCTTGATGCCTGCCCACCAATCAAAGAGCCATACGACCTCCAACCATAATGATTCGACGAGTAATTTGTTAATTATTCTGTACCAATTCTTTGCTAACGGACGAACAAGGACAAAAAGAATCGCCTGCGAGATCACAGTACTATAATAATAATAAGCGAAGTGATCAAGTGATGTCGAATAGAAATGATCTCAAGGAACGGTGTTCTTGTGAAAATGCATATATATTGACGTTACATTCTGATGGGACTCATTTTACTCTGGTGCTATATTCTCATGCACATATTTCCGTTTCATAGTTGTCGTTGAATTAGCTTGCATTCGAGAACCCAATGAAAGTAAAAATCGACGGAAACGAATGACTGGGGATTGCGTAAAACTCATTGAAGATGAGCTGCCAGAAAAATCTAATAGTGACATAATTGAACAAATGGAATGCAAGGGATATGGATGGGCTCACGGGTTACCTGGGTTAGATTAACGAGGAGACCCGAGCAAATGAAAAGAATGCCTACGGGAAGAACAACGAGAGCAGCAGGGATCGCCATGGCTTCAGCATCCGTTTAGAAAATACGAGGGAAAGAGAGAATAGATACGAGAGAGTAATTTAGGATATATATTTATATATATGAGCGCTTTAAGCGGCTAATTAATGCCGCGTATTGTATTGAATAATGAATTGAATTGTTGATGAGGCCATGATTTGGTGGACAATTGATCAAACAGTAGATAACAGTTGATTTATAGGGCTCCGTGAAAATAATCCGCCAATCACAGGGCTTGCTGAATTTTTAAGTCTGGAGGACGTCAGTCATTATTTTGTCATGTGTGAGAAATTCTTTTCCTTTGTTTTTTTTTTTTGGGCCTGCGTAGAATGGATTTCTTATTTTTTATTTGAATAACGGTTTGCAGAACAGCTCATGTTGCTTTTGATTAGCCCAATACAAAAATTTACATGAGTTGGATCGACGCATGACCTTTTTTAATAGAAATTTAAATTTTCGTTTATTATATTGTGGGAGGATTAGGTTTCCTAATCCCGTCAATATATTAGGGCCGTTTTATTTTATTTTAGTTTGATTAAGTCAATCCAAATAAACCTGCCCAATGAGAGGTTTGAGGCTCACCCACTCTTCAAATTACTCTTGTAGGTTAAAAGTTAAAACAATGAATAAAAGATACATTTATATTTTATCATGTTAATTTTTCAGTCACACCATAGTTTGAATATTAGTAGCAAATTGACCTAAATATTGTCTTTTTTTTTCTCCTCACGAAGGTTTTATTGACATTTAAGTATTTAATCCAGACGTGAACTCTTGTTCTCCCCATTTTATTTGATTTGGAATGTCAGAATTGAGAGTCTTTTTAAATTTTTTTTTAATACCAAAGAAATGAGAGTCTTTTTTAGTGGCTAGATTTTTCATTTTTGTGAGTGATCCTTAAAAAAAGTATCAGAGCGTTGTTGATGGCGAGGGAAGGGGGGGGGGGGAGAACAAACAAAAGAATCGGGGACTTGCCTGGCGGATCGAAACCGCAAACCATAGCACCGTAGGATAACGAGTGCGCCACTACATCACAGTGTGGTTGGGAGATCGCCGGCGGTTTGTTTAGAGGTTTTTTACGGGGAGGGGAGAGCGGGAAGGAAAGGGAAGAGGATGGGTTAAATATGTTTGGTTCAGAAGATAAAAAGGAGGAGGAGGGAGAAATTTTTTTGTCTTTTAGTACTTTTTCCTCTACTTTTACTTATCTGGAGTTTTTCTTGAGGGAAGAGAAATTTTATATGTCATCTAACTAAATTATTCTCACTAATTATTTAATATTACAAGTTTGCCCTTTCTCATTGAAATCCCTTTTTCTCACCTTATTCTCTTTCTCAGATCTACTGCTATTCTTCTATGCTATTCTCAATTGTTTTGATCGAAAGTATTCTTTTATATTTAGAAGAAGACAAAATGATGACAAAGGGATATAAAAATAATGGTTTGAGAAGTAGCTTGTGTGTCCGAGACTAAAAACAAGTATATACAAATATTTTGCATGCGGGGATAACAATCTATTTTATTTTTTATTTTTATCGTACTTTTTAGAAGTGTAAAATTTTAACAAGCACATTCAAATTAACGAAACAATATGTTATAATTAATAAAAAGTATTACTCTTCTGATCCTAAATATAAAACTCTTATAACATAAGGATTTTATATTTAGTACCAGAGGAGTATTTAAAATGAATATAATTTTTTGTGTCACATGTAGGTATGGCGATTAATTTTTTTGAGATACATAAATTAAAAAATAATAATTCTGATTTAAATACTATAATAAAATAATAAAAAATTTTAAATAAAAAAATAAGAGTATATTTGTTATTTTATAATTAGTTCTCATTTTCCTCGCCATAACCAAACAAGAAGCATCTCTCCCCATTCTTTTTCTTTGAACCAAATAAAATCATAACCCTTTTTTTTCCTCCCTTCCCTCCCTTTCCTTCCATAACCAAACAAAGCCTAAGGTTTGTTTGGTTGGAGGGAAGGAAAGGGGAGGAGAAATGAGCCCCTCCTCTTATTTGGTTAAAAATTTTGGAGGGGAGACTCTTCTTTCTTCTCATTTTAGCTCCCCTCTAAATTGAAAATTTTTGGAGAGGAGTCAAATTTTTAGACCATTATATCCTTATAGTTTTTTAATATTCTATTTCTACCCATAAAATATATTATTATAATATTTATTTCAAATAAAAAATATATTAAAAAAATACATTATTATAGTTAAAAGTATATTATAAAAATTATTTAAATAAAAAATTATAATATTATAAAATTAATTGTTTTTTATAAATACATTATTTATTAAATATATTTTAAAGCTAGAAAAAAGGATAGCCTAAAGAGAATAAAATTTTATTTTTCTTAAAGCATATAAAATTTGTTAATTTGATTGTTTTAAATATATTATTATATTAATTAGAATACAAAATTACTGTACTGATTTTTTAATACACATATTAACATGATAAGACTGACTTTTTATTAAATTATATAATTTAAATTAAGATGTAAATTAATTTATGTAATACATCAATAAAAAATATAAACTAATATGTAAAGGTAAAATGGTAAATTGATTATTACTATCCCTCCCCTCTCTTCTTAAAATAAACAAGGGACCATTAAATATCTTTTTTTCTGTTTTTTTTTAATTAAACCAAATAATACGAAGATAAAACATTCCATCTCCTTTCTTACCCCTCCCTCGCCTCAAACCAAACAGGTTCTGAATGTTTGATGCGCGGCGTCTGCCCGCTAAAATTTTCACTCGACTCGGTGGCAAGTGATCCACCGTTGGTCCCTCGCTAGCCTAGGGTTGGCTCTGCTAGAGGAGGGAACAGTACAATATTTTCATCGAGTGAGCAGCTCTGTATACTGGGACGACCATGGCGACCGCTTCCCAGGGTTATCATCAACCTTCCTCGATCGAGGAAGTTCGAACTCTTTGGATTGGGGATTTGCAGTACTGGGTCGACGAAAATTACCTTAGTCACTGCTTCGCGCACACCGGAGAGGTTTGTTCTCCCCCACCCCTTCCCTTCCTCCTCCTCCTCCTCCTCAATCCTCTGCTTTTTCAGTGTCTTGGAGTTGCATAAATAATTATCAAGAAAGCCACCCTGTCTGGTGTAATATTCCATCCGTTGGTTTTTTGGAGATACCAAAAAAAATTGTTTATGGCTGAGCTAACGAGAAAGAAGGACGAAAAACACATCCTATATTGAAAATTGGAACCCAACGAGTGTAATACTGGGGAAATAATGTTGCCCTCCAGAATCATTCCTGAGCAATGCACTTCTGTTGGAAGACGACCGATTACTTCAGAGTCTTACTTTGTGGTTGTTGTTGAAGAGGGCTTTAATTCGGAGAATTGGAAACTTGGAATCTACGGATTTCATATCACCTAGTAATCACATCATTTCAAAGGATAACCATTCTTCAGGCGTTTCCCAATTTCTAATTGGGATTCGAATTTTGGAATTTCATGGCTTCATCTCCTCTCAGTGTTAACGCAAACACTAGATTAAACCGGCGCGAGATTAGCTATTTTTGACTGTCCTATCGTCCATGAAGAAATAACTTTGAAATAGGGCCGTCCTGTCTAAGTGTGCTTTCGATGAAAGCGTGATACATTAAATTTCAAATTTTTTAGCGTGTGCCATTTTGGAAAATTTGCTTCTAGAGGATGAAGAGCTTGGTAACGTCTTTACTTATCTTTGCTGTAACAGGGTGAAAAATTCTCTTATCATACATAATGTCAGTATTCAATTTAGCTGTATGTATTTTGCTGATTCCTGACAGATGAATCTTGTGTGAATTTTTTGGGGAAGATGATTTATTTGCGTGATGATGTTATACCTAGTGACAGATGTTCCGTCTTATGCATTCCTTTTATAATGGATTTGTTTATGTGGATAGATGGTAGGATGCTCATAGAAATGGATTGCTTCGCTGTAGGTAGTTTCCATAAAGATCATACGTAACAAGATAACTGGACAACCTGAGGGCTATGGATTTGTGGAGTTTGTTTCTCATGCGGCAGCAGAACGGATTCTGCAAACTTACAATGGGACACAAATGCCTGGAACAGAACAGACTTTCAGGTTGAATTGGGCATCTTTTGGTATTGGGGAGAGGCGTCCTGATGCTGGTCCTGAGCACTCAATTTTTGTGGGGGACCTAGCACCTGATGTTACAGATTATCTTCTGCAGGAGACATTCCGAGCCCATTATCCTTCAGTTAGAGGTGCTAAAGTAGTGACGGATCCTAATACGGGGCGTTCCAAGGGATATGGGTTTGTTAAGTTTTCTGACGAGACTGAAAGGAATCGTGCTATGAGTGAAATGAATGGTGTTTATTGCTCAAGTAGGCCAATGCGTATCAGTGCTGCAACCCCCAAAAAGACCACTGGTTTCCAACAGCAATATGCTGCAGCTAAAGGTGATTATTTTATTAAGTTGATACTGTTCATATACTTCCTGGGAAACAAGGATTATACTCTCCTCTCTACTATGTATATTTAAATTTTCTTAATATTGGTACACGTGTTATGTGAACATTTTACTACTTTTTAGATACAAAAGTAAGTCTTTTTCCTATGCTAGAAAATTGTGCATTGTAACTTGTATTTCTCTGAAGTCTCGAACTATCTTATAGAATTTTAGAGGACTGTTTAGAAACATTACTCTATATTGATTAGGAAATGAGAATTGCTCTTCCTTGCTTCCATTATGAATTATAAGCATGGGTCCTGTCATCCTGTTTTAATATGGCAAAAGGTATTATAGTTTTATTGGTTTTACGCACTCATAATTTAGACAGATTAAGGCATGTTTTGGTTTTAGTATGAATATCTTTGTTAAAATAAATAAAGTCATACCATTCTAATCGACAAGTCTGAGGTGTGCCCATGTATTACATTAAAGGCTTCAAGTGCTTTTAAAATATATCTGGAATTGCTGTTTTGGAAAAAGTAACTAAAGAAAGGAGAGAAACTTTTTCCCTTTACGGAGGTGAACATGTTTTGGTGCTACTGTACTGACTACTTTTAAGTCAAAGAAGAAAATTTTCTTCTTTAATTAGTCAGTGTAGATATGAGAAGAAATCTGGAAGTTGGTACTCAAGCTTTTGTACCTTGAATAATTGCTGGCTATATTGTAGAATTTTGCTATTTGAATTTATTGCTACTTAGATGAGGCACTTACACAAGGATCTCTTTGGCAGCTGTATATCCAATCCCGGCATATACTACCCCAGTAAATGCAGTTCCACCAGAATATGATATGAATAATACAACTGTAAGTCAGACCTAGAATATGTTGTAAATTTCATCCTTCTATGGTTGTCTTACCCCAGTTTGTATTGCAGATTTTTGTTGGCAATTTGGATCTTAATGTCACAGAAGAAGAACTGAAGCAAACCTTTCTGCAATTTGGGGAAATTGTATCCGTCAAGATTCAGGCTGGCAAAGGATGTGGTTTTGTTCAATTTGGGACAAGGTCTCTTATTTTCTTTCTTTCTGTTAAACGTTTGAATTCTTTATATGGTTGCATTGTAAGGATGTGGGTTTGACTTGCCCTCCCTCCCCCAAAAAAAAAAAAGGTTGTAATTTTGATATGGCATATCGTTATCCCATGTCTTGTGAGCTATTCCGTCATTCTTTCTTTTTTTAATCTTTATCATATTTAAGCTCTATTTCTTCAGTTTCTTGTTGCTTTTGTCTGTAGACCATCTGCTGAAGAATCCATTCAGAGGATGCAGGGAAAGATGATAGGTCAGCAAGTGGTTAGAATTTCTTGGGGTAGGAGCTTGACAGCTAGACAGGTGGTTGATATATATCATTATCATGAAATGTTTTAGTTTGTGCTGCTCTGGCCTGCCTGTGCTTGTAATATATCATTATTATGCACTTCGATCTTAGGAACTCCTGAATTTTCATAACTGCATATGAGGAAACCATAATTCATGCAAAGTGGGGAAAGTGTCATTATTTATGCTCTGTATGGTGACATGGTGGTTACTCCCTCTTCCCAATCACCTGGACTCTGCCAGACATTTGATTATGAGGATAATATGTGGTTTTTATTTTCACAAGAAAAACACCAAATAAGGAATGAAGACATGCGGTTATGTGGGTGGTTTTAGTTGAAGATAAGTTAACATGGATGTTAAAAACAAAGTAATATTAATACCAAATATAAAATTTATGGGGAGCTTTGTCATTTATAAGCCATGAACAATACAGCTCGCAGGCTCTGTGTAAATTTTTTTTTTTTTTCCTGTTGTTATTTTAATCTTTTCCCTCACATTTCAGTGGGATCGTACAAGTTTGGTTTTTTCCCCCTCTTTTCAATTGGCTTATGTCAACATGTTTAAATGTTAGAAAGATGAGTATAACTAATCTTTTAGGAAACTTTTTAAATAATTATTGTGCTGGGAGTAGATATCTAGTTTGACATAATATGTGAGAGTTGCAGTACCACCATGTACTTTTATATATATATGGGTAATGACACCTTTTTTTGGCCAACATATAGCGATGTTTGTTGGCTCAATAAGTTTATGTTTGAATTTTGCATTTCATTTTGTTGATGTATTTGATAAAATTTTGCCATGAAATTATGGTAGGACTTGCCTGGTGGCTGGGGAGCACAGATGGATCCGAGCCAATGGAGTGCCTACTATGGCTATGGGCAGGGGTATGAAGCCTATGCTTATGGGGCAGCTCAAGATCCTTCTTTGTACGCTTATGGTGCATATGCTGGTTATGCACAGTACCCCCAACAAGTGTGTCACCGTAAATTTACTTTACATATCAGTTTGTATGGCAGAAAATAATTTCATTAGAAGTTGCATTAACTTCTGATATTAAGCTTCTCCTGCATGTGGGTTGTTTATTCTCAGGTTGAAGGTGCTCAGGACACGGCATCTATGACGATGCTGAATATGGAACCAAGGGAGGAGTTGTATGATCCCCTGGCTATGCCTGATGTTGACAAGTATAGTTTTTTCTTTTTCACGTTCTGGAGATAGACACGTTTACATATGCTCATGTTGATTTCTGTATTTGACGTGTTTTTTGATTGCTTTACCAGGCTGAACGCTGCATATCTATCAGTACATGGAAGTGCCATCTTAGGGCGGTCCCTCTGGCAGAAAACCTCGCCCTTCACACAGGCAGCCTAGGGTCTATGTATTACCTAATCAATTCTGGGTGCCGATGTTCTAAAGTATTCGGTATCTGCTGCCGGGTAAGGATTAGTTATGTTAATACGATATGGAGGGGAACCAGATGCTTCTAGCAATGATCAGCGGTCAGATATGGAATCCGTCAATCCGTAGTGCTTCTTGTTTTCTTCTAAGCGGTTGTGCTTAACCCCCTTGATTACCTTGACTTGGACAAGTGACTGGTTATACTTGTCAATAGAACTCCTACCCCTATGGCCAACAGCAAAATCTCACCCCGTGATGCGTCTCTTGATGTCTTCTGCCAAACATTAGAGGTAATGAGAAGCCAGTATAACCTAACATGTTTCTCCAGGTCATTTGCGCTGCCATTTAGTTCTCAGTTTCTGTCCTTGGTCTGACATTCTGTTTTCTTCCCCTCATTCAACAATATTCTTGAGTACAACTAATATTGATTAGTGTGCAATATAACTATGAGAATGGAATATGTTATCTTCTTCACGAGTGGAATCGTCACGTATTCTACATGTATCGAATCGCTGTATTGCCAATTATGGTGCTGAAGTTCCATGTGTCCGCCAGCAAAACTTATGACCCTTGTTTCTCTTCTTGTTTTGGAAAACACAAGAAATAAAAAAGTGTTTAATAATTTATTTTTAGTTGGCATTTTTTTTTAAAAAAAAACACTTTTTAAAAACGAAAAAACCAAAACATTTTTTAGAATTTTTTTATTTTAAAAAATCAGAGAAATCTTTTATCGTTCACCATCTGCTATGTGCTTTTTTTTATTTTAGTTTTAAATGTGATTGTTTAAAATAATAATGTAAACATTTTTTTATTCCCAAATCTTGATTTAGAAAACAATTTTATGGATTTGTTTTGGGGGAAAAAACAATAAACAAAAACAAATGATCTAAACATTTTTTTTAGCTTTTGATTCCGTCGCTACCATTCATTTGTGCACTCCGTGCGCTTGAACATAACGCTGATTAAGCTTAATGTTCCTTATTTTACGAATTACTACCTCCGGTCTTAATTATAAGACCCAGTTGACTTATTTGAGGAGATTAAGGAAGCAAGTTAAGTTAGTTATTTGTAATAAATAAGTGTTATCATTCCTAAAATATCCTTATTAATTAAGTGTATTGGCTAGAACTATTATTATTAGAAGGACTATCTTGAAAAAAAATGTATAAATATGAGAGACAAAATGGATTGGGGTTTATAATTAGGACCAAACAAAAAGTCAAACGGGATCTTATATTAAGGACTGGAGGTAGTATTATAATTTACTTTGTCAACGTAGAACGCCGTCCCCTCTTGGACATTGGTTAATTGTACCATAAATGGAAGCAGACCAGTTGCCCGCGCTGGAATTGCACTTAACCCCCTCTGCATGGTGCAAAAGAGCATATAATTAAGATTGGGATCTTAATTGAAACCACCCATATAAGCATGTTTTACATAGAGTACGACAATTTTTTTTACACATCTATCTTATATTTTATAAATTACGATTTATATGAAACATGTTTATGAGCTTATATTCAATCATTACAATTTATATGAAACGCGTTTAAGTTTATATTTAATCATGGTTTGCAAAATACAAAATAAATATGTGAAATCAATTTTATCTCAATTTACATAAAATGTATTTATAAGCATTTTTAAACACTACACCAAACAAGCCCTTAGTGTTTTAACTTAACTTTGAATTATTCACCCAATAAAACAAAAACTTCTCTTTGAATTACAACATATGATCATGGCCGCGGTCAAAATTGTTTCAGTTTAAGAATAAAATGTTCCCTCACTCCTAAACTAGATACTTGGCCAGCCAGGGTAAATCCTTGCAGTTTCTCAGCGCAAACGCCACATCATCACTGCCACAAGTAGCGCGAAACCAATCAAAGTGAAATTAAATTCGTTAAATGTAGTAGTAGTAAATAAATTAAACGCATGTTCTCTAGCGGGGCAGTATAGTGGGACCTGAAAAATGACATGGAAAGAGAGGACTAACCTAGGGAAGTTGAGCTGCAACTTCTGCAACCTGTGCTTGGAACCTGCTTCGCACAAAAGAATCCTGGATTCGCCCAGCCTACATCTGTCCAAAATAAACGTGTATAGACATCAGATGTGGAAGTAGCATGGATCCCTTCGACATAAAGCTCAGGATCAATTATTCCTTTCCATCTCCAAGCAAGAGAAGGAGCAGTAGTTATTCATGTCGTGCCTCGAGCCAGACGCCTTTGTTCTTAGTTTTATTTGCCAAGAGAGTGGGGATGGGGCCATGGGGGGAAGCAAGGAAGGCAATTAGGAAACCGCAAACGGGCTTCCGGTGTCCCCACACACACACACACAGCATTGAGACGAGAAATCATACCCAACTTGCAGGAGCGTATCATATCCAGGAAAAACCTCTCCGTTGCTGGTGCAGAGACACGATACCGTCATTGCCAGCTACATCCACACATATTACTTCACATAAGAACACCACCGCGAATTCACTTTTTACCTTAAATTCCTATGAATATATTTATAAAATAGAAATGCAAATTTTGGCATCGTATATCGAATCAATGTGCATGCGTTTATAAAGAAAATGATGCGATCAATTAGCTTCGCGCTATAGCTATGCAATTAAATGGAATGTCTTGGAATATCAGATCCCTAAGATGATCAGTTCAATGAGATTTTCTTGAATCAAGCCTCAAACAAGCACCCACATCATTCTTGAACAAATTTTCGCTCGAATGTGAAGTCAGGGCAAAAGAAAAGTATAATAATGCTAAAAGGGATATTTATCCTTCAAGGTTTCGACCAGAATGCTGAAGTTTGAAAGTCAAGAAGACAAGAACCATATGCAAGACCAGCGTAAAAACAGAAAGAAGCTTCCAGAACTGACCTTCTCAAAAGTAGTTTCGCCCATTCCTGTTTTATAAAGCTCGTGCACCATGGCTGTCAAAACGATTTTACCAAGCCTAGAACAGCTTTTCATCACCTTCAAAAGAAAGAAATGGCGTACATCAATGTAAAATTCAAGTAAAATATTAACGTCATTCTACCCGCTGAAAGAAAAACCAAGTGCTTATTATTGTACCTAGACATTTATTTCAAAGATTGAGACAAGAATTTTCTCATGCCTAACTATGAATAAGACTATATATCAATTTGCCCTGCAAAATTAGCAGTCAGGAGAATTGAACACGAACTGAGCTCGTATTGTTTCTTAATAATCCTTAGTTATTTAAAATAAAACGAAAATAATTCCCAATCCTAATCAAAATACTACTTACATAATATTTAATCTATAATTTAGAAGGAATTAATTATGTTCTTTTCCCATCCTCCATCTGACACTGTATCGAATTAATGATAGCTTGCACTGTTTCACCAATACAGTATTGTCTGTCGCTCAAAATAACGAAGCTTCAAAAGTCAAGAAACAAATCAGCGCTTAGAAAATTTCAACGCACTTGAATATGCGGAGCCTGAAACATTTCTTGGATGGCAGCTTCAACATCCGCCATAGCAACAAGTCCTTTTCCTTGAAAACAGATGTAAAGTAAAAAAAAAATAGTAAGCAGAAGAACCACTGTAGGAAATAGGAATGCAAATGTTAAATGGTCGCCGTTTAAAATTAAAGTCAACATCAAAGCATGAACACATAACATGATATCAAGTCAGCAACAACAAGGTTAAGAACTATACTTCGCGTGGTCTTAACTATCTCATGATCATTATTGACAGAAACATTTTGACATCAAATACCAGTCTAGATGCAATTTCTAAGTAGTTAATGTGGGACTTGGTATGAAAATTTACAACAACGAAATAACAATTGAAACGTCTTGAGCAACTGGTTTTGAAAGCCAAAAAAAACTTTGATTTGCTATGCTTGCAATGAAAAAGGTTGCTTAATGCATAAAATATTGCCGGGTAAGATCACAATCATCCTACTAATCACCAGCAAGGCAGCAACGCAAAAAGAAAGAATATGCCCTATCATGCTATCAATGTGATTAAAGGAAACAAATGTTGAGTTACATGCCTAAACTACAGTAAAAGCAAGCATTTAGGGGTTTATTATAGATTTGACCATCTCTATCTAAAATTTTAAATTAAAGAACAAACGTGGAAACTGTTTTAGTTTTAGATTTGACATGTAAAATCTACGGGATGGTATGTTCACATACCTGATGCAGCTAAGTCAGAATTTGAATGCAGCTTTTTAATACGATAATCTGCAATTTCTGCAGCACGTCTGCATATTTCCAAAGCACGGCGTGCATCCCCTGAGATTGCTGCAACCTGAATAAACACGGAACAATTTGGAAGTGAACACAAGAGCTATAATGCCAAAAAATGATTGTCAAGTGGGTATATAAATGAACTTTTACCAGAGCCATAACTAGTTCAAGAGATTGGAAAGTCTAAGATTCATAAAAGCCTCACATTAAAATCTCATTTCCAAGGTGGGACTGGTCCCATATCATGCAATCGGATCACAGTGCAATACAACAAAACTAGGGAAATTAAGCTTCACGATGACATACAGACTGACCTTTCTTGAAGCAAATTCTATAGCTTGCTTTTCGAACACATCTATTCCCTTCAAGCGACTTGAAATGATTTCTTGAAGCTGCTGATAATTATATGGGCCAAAGCAAAGCCTCTGGATGCCCATTCGACTTGATATGCGAGGAAGTAACTTCTCTGGAAGATCCATGGTATTTGCAATCCCTAAATTCATCATTAGTTAAGCATAAGTTATTCAAGTCAACATTGGCATCATAATCATTATCACCAAGCAATTTCCCCTTTTTAAAATGCTTTGCTCAAAATTAGAAGATCACTATGTAGAACAAATAGATCTGGCAAGAATTTGGTCTTACCTATCACAATTAGTTTGGAATGCGGCTTAGTAGGCCAATCAAGAATATTATAAAGCACCTGCAATGACAGTTAGATTCAATGCGATATAATTGCATTTGCGAAAGAATGTGAAGCCATTAACAGCAAATTTCTTGTTGCATAAAAAACTATTTACCGACTGATTTCTGGTTACAAGAAGATCGAGTTCATCAATTAGAAGAATGCATGGCTGATCAGCCTTTTCTCCGCTTTTCTTCCCCTCCACGAATCTCTCATTTAACAAGTGAAGGGCCTTTTTCCAGCTGACCCTGTGACCATTTAATGCTTCATATATGACCTGAAAGAATATAAGAAAGAAATAAGATAACTGATTAATGTGGAGATTTTATAAAATCAAAACAGTCCATTGAGCATACCCTGTAAATATTCTCTGGAGACGCCAATTTCAAACCATTAATCTCTACAAAACAGTACGGTCGTATGGTTCCTGCATCAACTTCTGACCTCAAACTCCTCATTACTGATAGTACACTCATTGTCTGCAGTTTCACAAGCAGGAAAACTAAATAAGCAAGACTTGCTCTATTATTAGTAAAGCCTCACTGGATTAGAGCACAGATGTAGTTTTTTAGAAGGGAAAAAAAATTAGCACCTTCCCAGTTCCAGGAACACCATGGATGTACAAACAACGTCCTAGACATTGATCATCACAGATGGCACCTTTTACAAATGAGGTTATCTCCTCCATTTCTCTGCATAAAGAATGCCTTGATTAATAACTACCTAGATTTATTTTTTTCCTAAGAAAAATTTGAGCTTCCACATACTTATTCCTACAAGGTAAAGATTTAGGTAACGATGCCAGCAACAGCATAGCCTTTGCTCTCTCAATATCAGTTTGTTTGTGATTCCTTATGAACTGTGGAATTTTTTTGGTGCCTATCTTTTGAAGTCCAAAAAATTGCCCCTTACGCAGATTCTGTCCAAGCAACAAATGCAAACCTTTTAGGAAATTAACATACTAAGAAAACTATTAATATAGTGAACAGTAATATCCATACAGCAGCTGGTGCATGATTTGATGATGACTGAGGTCGTGAATCTTTTGTATTCTCTGCATCGTATTCAACATCATCATCTGTATCAAAGTCTGACTCCTTGCAATGATTCCAATCTTCATCACTATCAGATTCTTCACCAACCTACCATGCAAGAATTATTGCATAAATACTAGTATCTTGATATATGTTTTCCAATGAGCAGGACCATAATATCTTTTTCTCTCTTCTAAGATAATTACCTCATTGTCATTGTCAATCTCAGCAAGACGCTTGAAAGCGTGCCAATGAACGTCATATTCATATTCACAAAAGAAAATATCATCCCCCTCGTTGGCCTTGGCAAATTCTTTGGGAGTCATGACAAAGCAATGTCTAATGATGGATTCCATCTGCGGTGCAATGTCGGAACATCAGAATGATGAAAGCAAATCAGGAAACTGTTTCAATTATCTTTAAGTTATGTCTGTTGGGATTGAAAACTTTTTTAATATAATTATCAAATTTGAAAGGAAGGAGTTATCTTGAGTGAGTGGCTGATTAGGTCCAGAAAACTTCACTCAAAACAAATATGTCATCAACCTCAGACTGAAGGGGAAGAAAATTTCATGCCCAGAGCTGCGTGGTTTGAAACTTATCGTCCAAAACTAGGCTGAATTACTTACAAATGAAAATGATACATTACCAAAACCAAAAATTCTTGCTTTCACGCTATCAACAAAGTTTCAAGCTATCTGGTTATACCAAAAAATGTAAGGATGGTTATAGAAAAGTTCAATTTTATTAGGCATGAGAGATGGAAAGCAGGAATATACAGGGGGCAGTTTGGCTTAAGGACGCCTGATGACCTGAGATAATTGACATTATTTGCAGAACCTGACTCCAACTCATAAATTGACAAGCTTCAACAGAAAATTCAAATATGAAACGGTTGCATTATCTCGAAACATCACACTGACTGGTTTTTCCCCACAAGCAAATTTTATAACAAATTTGAAAGGATGACAGTTGCATTACTGCCAGCAGTTTACTCCGTGTTTAGTAATAAAAAAAGCTATCATCTGTCACCTCAATGTCTGCAAAATCATTTGTTCTATATAGCTCCCTCTTCAGATTATGAGGTTGTCTCCCAATAGCTGTCTCTTCTGGGATCACATACCACCTGACACGACAACAGTAGGTACCATCCCCTTCTTTCCACATACTGTTTACGTAAAACCAACCAAGAAAAAGAAAATTTGAAGTAATTATAATTTTATTATAACTAGTAAAAGAAAAACAACCTAAAGTTGTTACTGGTTAACAAAAAGATCATACCTTTCAATGTGAGCAGCCCACAAATCACTGGAAAGAAGCTTTTCCCTCAATGTCCTAACTAGTTTCTTACCCTCCGGAGGCATGGGAAAGCCAACATCTCTGCCTATCTTACGAGCCTCACAAAAACCACAAATCCAATCTCCTTCCGGAACATCCTTTAATGGTGGAGTCAAACATTTCAAATGAAAGCCACCTAAACAATCATCACACTCAATCATAACATCATCCCCAGAACTAAAACACAACCTGCATTCCTCCACTTCTGGGAATTCATTATCTGAGTCAGTTTCTTCCCTCCTCTTCACATAAACATCATCGCCTACTTCGAACTCACCCCCATCATATACGACTTTTTTATAATACACCCGTCTCTTAGGCAAGACATTGCTCTTTTGCCCCTTCTCAGATTTCCTACTTCTTGCAACCATAGCTCTTGTAACAACCCTTCTTTCATCAATCCTCTTTCTCTTCTTAGTTTCCGATTGGTCAGGCGACACTGGGGCAATAGGAACTTTAGCTGAATCCGAATCTTTGTCATTTCTCCTCTTCGAAGTTTCGCCCCTTGGAGTAGATGTCGGGCATTTTGCAGATCCAGAGTTGCTCTCTTTTTTATGTGCTTTGCCGATTGAAACGTTTTCCCTAGTTCTATTTCTACGGGTTGTCACTTTACCTTTGCAGGGTTCTTCAGCATAATCGATTGATCGACGAGACCTGTTCAAATTTCTTCTTTCCCGAGCTTTATCCTTATTTGGAGCTTTGGACGGATGTTCACAGAGTTCATCAATGCAATTGAGAGGCTTTTGAGGATCGACAGAATCAAAGGCCAGCAACTTACGGCGAGTCGATCTGCGCGGAGCTACTGATTGTGGAGTTACAGGGTTAACTGAGGGTGAGGAGTTAGCATCCAAATGGGATTGTTGTTTGCATTTTGTGGGAGATCGAAGAGACTTGCTAGGTGTTTCGGCCATTGATGAACCAGTGGAGTGTAGGAGATGAAGCAAGAGAGAGCCGGACAGGACCGTTCGACGGCCAGGACGTTTCCAACTTCAAGTGCCTGAGCAAAATGAACACTAGCAGATTCTTTTAACGAGAAGAGCCGGCCAAGCCAAGAGCAAGAAAATTGGCGGGAAATATTCCCTCTTGCCAGTAGGTCTTCCGGTTGCTCTTATTTATTTATTATTATTTTTTTTTTTAGTGGATCATGATGTTGTTCACTGTTTACGACCCATAACCCACAGAAAAGGAGACGGTTTCGGGTAGAGCCTCTGGAGTTGGACGAAAAAGGCGGAACTGATCCATAGGGCCTCCATGGCAAACCGAGGCCCAATAAAGAATTCTAGGCCTGAAGCCAGTGAAGGGCTTTGACGTCCCACAAATCCCAAATTGCAACATCTGAACTTCACATACGTCAGCTTTCCGATGTGTTCCCCCCCCCCCAAAAAAAGGAATTCTCATTTGCGTTAATTAAAAATGTTTGCGGTGTTTTTCTTCAAATATCTTTCGCATCGATTACTTCTTATCAATATTCCTTAAAACATTTTATCATATTTTATGGTTAGCCGCGTGTTTTCATATAAAAATACAAAACCGGAGTGGGCCAGTGTCTCAGCCTGCGAAACCTCTATACGGAGATGAGAGATTCATGATCAAAGCGAAGCGCCCACGTTGGTTTTCCTCTCAGCGGCTTCACATCAGAGGTTTTCCCTCCATTTTGTGTTGCTCGTATCTTATTTAGTGGTTAGGATGTGAATTTTTCCTTCACTTGAATATTATAATGGAAAACACGATCTTTATGGCATATTGTCAATGAACAGCAAAAGCAACATACGTGTATAAAAATATGATCTGAACCAGAAATGACTCGTAAGAAGCAAATGCAATCCACGGGGCCTGAGATCACATGGCAGTCCAAAGTGAGCAGCGTCTTGTTTTCTTTAAGCCGAGCAAGACGAGAAGTATGCCGAGGTAGTCCAAATTGTAAGCCACTTCCAGAAGGTGAAACTTGTGGAGAGTCCATGGAGGATACCTGAACCAGAAATCGGTGTAGAAGCTTCGCTGCACAACAGCCTTCTCGTGACTGAATGTGTCAAACGAGAATTTGCCGTGATACTTGCCAAATCCACTCCCCCCGACGCCTCCAAAAGGGATGGTATCTGCCACATACTTCACCCAATGAACAAGACAGGTTAGACACAACAATAATCATGCAACATGGCATGAAAACAATTCTTGATTTTTCCAGTCTAATTCAATCCCCATTATTCTTAATTATCTCCTAGAAGAATACAATTACAAACTAAATATGTTTAACAATTCAATGACGCAATATTTGTTAGTCTACTTGTCACTGTTTCTTGCCGTCCACCGAAAAGCAAATGGTAAATAATGATATGAGGGGTATATATGAATAAACATATACCTGAAGAATTGCATCGTTGAAAACAATACTCCCAGATGAGGTCTCGGAGGACATCCTTCTCTGCAGAGTTTTGTTGTTGGTGAAGGCGTAGATTGCGAGAGGCTTAGGCCTCGACTTCATGAACTGAATACTATCTTCGATCTTCTCTACCTGCACAAGCCACCCGGAAAATGCAAATGAAACTGCATGCATACTTGATAAAGAGATGCAGAGGCATCTAATCTATTAACACTAATTAAATAACTACATGGCTTTTTCTTGGCCGCTCTTACAGTAATAATTGGGAGCAGAGGCCCGAAGATTTCTTCCGTCATGATTGCCGATTCCAGTGGAGGATCCACCAATATTGTTGGCTCAATGAATCTGCATGGAATTTTCAGAGCATTCATTTTCTCTCAATCTCTATATAGCAATCAGCAAGTAAAAAGGAAACATCAAAGGTATTAGTTACAGGCTATCTTCATCCATTGAACCACCGAAGACCACCGATTTATTTACTTCCGGATCATCCAGAAGATTCTTCAGTCTCGAGAGGTGTTGTTTATTAACAATCCTGGCAATAGAGTTCTCTTCTTTTGGGTTTTCTCCGAACATTTTCTTTGTCCAGGCCTTCAATGATTCCACCTGAAGAAGACGAGGGCAGAGACAGCCCGAGGTCAGAGGAAGAACAGCAGCATGATCAAATTTTAAGCGACAAACCAAATTCTCCGTACCAAAACGGAAGCGAAATTCTTTTCCACGAGGACATAATCGATAGCTATGCAAGCTTGACCGGCACAGGACCCGTATTTTGCGGAAACTATTCGTTTCACGGTCACCTTGTGGTTCAGCAGGCAGAGAAGTGGGAGTGAGCAGACAATAATTAAGCAGGATTTTGTAATCAATTAATCAACTCGAGCTTCAACTGTTACGTTTCTTAATATCCCCTGTTCATTTTCATGTTTCTTGCTTATTTCAGACGCTAAAATTAAATCCACCTGGGTGTCCCAAGAAGCCGAAAGGGAATCGACAACAGCAGGACATTTTCCACCCAACTCCAAAGTCACGGGCGTCAGATGCTGCGCAGCTGCAGACATAACAACACGTCCCACCCGAGCACTTCCTGATGATATTGCGTGTTTACTCAAAAATCTCAGCAATAGTTAATAAGAAGGAAAAAGGTTTGAAAACACACGCACTGTGTTGTTAGTTAGTTTCCAAAATTCAAGCTCAAATACTGTGGATGCAGTGTTTCGAAACCTGTGAAAAATATCTCGTCCCATTTTTGACGTAGAAGCTGTTGGCCAACTTGGGGTCCGCCTTGGTATACTTTAATAGCATTATTGTCCAAGTAGGCCGGAAGGATAGAAGCTAGAAGGGATGAGCAGGCAGGCGACATCTCTGAAGGCTTTAGAACTACTGTGTTCCCCGCAGCTATTGCTCCTATGAGTGGCTCCAACGACAGCCCTTTCATTTGATTGCAAACAGAACAACGATATACTCTCTATCAGTGCGAATAAGAGGCATTGCTTTTACATGTCCTGTTCGTAGAGCTCGAAGGAGAAGGAAACTCACCAAAGGGAAAATTCCAAGACGAGATTATGAGGACCAGGCCAAGAGGCTCGGGAACAATATCTGCCCTGGCAAGCACTGCTATTTTTGGAAGTTTAGCCTATCAATCCCATACCAACACCACTTGGTCAGTAGTCTAGTCTATGCATACGGATCCATTTTTTGGGATATATAGCATTTCGAATTATGTTTCTTATCCCGAAAAATCTCGACTTGTTTTCACGAAATGAAAAACTAATCGTGATTCATAACATGCTGATTATTTATTGAGCGTCGCGTAACACACACACACTGAGTGGATTGCTGCCGTCATCTGTGCAAACTTGAAGACGGGTACGTATAATCTCACCTCTTTGCCTGCCATCCAATTCCTTAAAGACTTCAATGCGACATCTATGGACCTCTCTAATATTCCTACCTGCAGCCAAATCAGAGACTCATGAACCATTTTGTGTTCTTGGGTGATATGTGTGTGTACGTAGGTGGAGATTAGGAGAAAATAATACGTGATCTGACTCACCTCGTCTCTGAAAGCCTCGACGTGATGCTTCCCTAAATGGCTAAATCTTGCTTGAGCGCCTTCAAGATGTCTTGCTCCTTTTCCACGAGTGCACTACGTAACCCTTTAAGCTGTGATTCTCTCCACGATGCTTCCTTTGTTTTCCCACCGTCATAATACTCCCTCATCTTCCTCAGCTCGCTCTCCACACTTTCCAGCGTCTCCATATCCCAGAAGATCTGACGCGCCCCAACTTCTCGGCAAATTATGAGCAGCTAGGATATTTATAGTACGTTTGATCATGCAGCCGATGCACTCCCAGATTTCAGAGTTGCACATTAAATGAGCTGTATGGCCTCTTCCTGTTCTCTTGCATGTGTTGTCGCTTCCTCGTTCAATTCAATAAACCGACACTCCAAAAGCCGCAGCGTAGGAATGTAATGTCAGGATTCACGAGAGACGAAAGACACCCCAAGCCAAGCCTACACTCTACCTTCTGACCTTTGCTTTGACGTACTGTGAATTGTTTTTTCTTTTTTTGGTAAAAAGTACTGTGAAATTTTGCTTCTGTGCCATCTAACATGCGAATTCTATATCCAAGCAATGAGAGTTTCATGTAATACGTACCGTTTCTTTCTCTGGAAAAAAATTGCATAAAATATATATATTTTTACATAATCATCGCGTGCATGTACATCAGAGGGTAAACTAACAAGGGATACTGATGATCTCAACTTCGGCGAAATCCTAGTCCCGCACGATTTGTTTTATATATGTAGATGTTGGACCCATGCATTAGTAAATTACTGCAACAGATCATCAGACACTGACACTGAAAGCATATACAATGATATATATATCTAGTCTTGTTGATCTTCAAAAGATTCATCAAGGGATAGTCCGAGGGATCTGTTTTTTTTCGAATGGTAGTCCGAGGGATCATTAATTCTACTGTAACGATCTCCAGCGCAGTAAGCAGGCATCAATAATTATCAACTGCCAAATGTACTGTACTTGATACTGGAGCAGAATTATTTTACGTTACGATCTACCACGCACGTTATGCAAGCTTTGTGTGGTGGCAATATTAATATAATTTTGATGCCTTGTTTTAAATTTTAATAAATAGCGCATGTTAAATCAGAATTGAAGGAGACGAGATCGATGTCATCGCTCACTATAATTTTCATTGAAGGCAAGGCTTAAGAATTTATTATTGCGTTGGCCGATTATTATTCGGTAATCCTTAACTGCAAGTTTAGTTTCATCTATCCGATAACTCATATGAGGTGTTCGTTCTTCATCCCATCACATCGGTATTTATCATATAATTAATGACGACAGACCATCTTATTTACTCCTTCGTAGCTAAATTCAACCCCCGTGCCATCCTAACTCTAATATCCATCTCAAGTTGTGTTTTGATGTGAAAGAAAGAGAAGATGATTTGATGAAATCCAATCAGAAAATAGAAATAATACGCGGGACAAAATCGGTACATGATTTATTAAAAGATTAGCAGTCGATGCATGCAATTCCCAGGCCCACCAACACATGTTATTATGCACATATACGATTAACATGCAAGGGTTTTCTATACTCAACTATCCATTGTAAAATAATTACACCCGTCATTTGATTCGCTGCCTGTTCTATTTATTGAGTAAAATAATTATGGGATTTTTAAGCTTGACTTTTCCAATGAAAAGTGCGCACATAATTGCTTTTAATTAATTTTCCTCTCAATAAGAAAAATTTTTCCTGACAGTATATCATAACCGTTTTGTATAGGATGTCATCATATTTTTTTATCTTCAACCCAAGTTACTTGGGATCGACATCCTCGCCCAATCTTAATGTTAATATCCGTAAAGTTCATTTCTATTTTTTTTTTTTTAATATGTGAATTCAAATGCGTATCTATTGGGTGGAAAAACAAGAGATTTACGTGTATTATTCACGTAGAATTTAGAGTACTCTCTTTTATCCCACCAGGAGACGGGAAAAAGGGCATGATAAAGGAGCAAGATACACTGTGATACATCATCAGTTGAGTGTAAGTACTAAGGAAAAGGGTAGTGCAATTAAGTTGTAGGTGCTGTGCATGTGTGCAACATTTCCAACCTACCGGTCGAAAGAAACGTTGGATTCACCGTACTACGTACTGAGAGCTCAAGCTGTGATCGAACAGCAAAGTCCTAAAAGAGGGCGATGCGTTTAGAAGGCCTCTTCAAGCCAAGCAAGACGAGAAGCAATCCCAGATAGTCATAATTGTAAGCCGTCTCAAGCAGTAGGAGCTTGTTGGGAGTCCAAGGAGGAAACCTAAACCAAAAGTCAGTGAGGAAGCTTCTTCTGACAACGGCCTTTTGGTGGCTGAATGTGTCGAACGAGAACTTGCCGTGGTAACTGCCAAATCCGCTGCCGCCTACTCCCCCAAATGGGAGGCTGTCCGCAGCGTACTTCACACAAAAAATAAAGCGCAATTAATCACATTCCAAAATCAAAAGGCTACTATTTTGGGGGGGGGGGGGACAGAGAGAGCAAAAGGACACGAGCATGCATGGAGATATGTATACTTGCAGAATGGCGTCGTTGAAGGTCACGCTTCCTGATGATGTTTCAGATATCATTCTTCGTTGTAGTTCTTTGTTTTTGGTGAAGACATAAAGCGCTAGAGGCTTAGGCCTAGAGTTTATGAACTCAATACCGTCTTCGATTTTATCCAGCTGCAGCGTCATCCGACAGAAACAGTAAAAATTTTCATTAATTATATTCCCTGTGTTATTAGGCAACAACATGAGCAGTTGGCCAGAAAAACAAACGGCTTACAGTAATAATGGGAAGCAATGGGCCAAATATCTCTTCTGTCATGATAGCCGCTTCAAGTGGAGGATCAACCAGGATTGTTGGTTCAATAAATCTGAACAAATGCAATGGTTTTAGTTCCTTTTTTTTTTTTTTAACCACTACTCCCTCGACCTCTATATATAATCAATATTTTCTGGCATAAGATGGGTCTTTTATACATAAGTAACACTACTTACTTTATGTTTGTCTAAAGATATAATACACTTTTCTTCATTTTACTTCTAACTACATGATCTATTTTCTCATTCATTCTCTCTCATTTCTTTTCCCACTCATTAATCTTTCTCTCACACATCATTTTCATAGATAAAAGTATACTTGAAAAAAGAAATTTGCATCTCTTGCACATTGATTACTTTCAATTAATTTTAGCCAACATTAGTAATTAAAACCAAATATATTTCCAAACTGAGAATGGATAAGCTAATGAGTAATGACGTCTCGCTGTAAGCAAAGTCCTAAGTCCTGACCAATTAATGTGATTAAAACAAGATAGGAAATTTGCTGTGGTATTTCCAAACTAAGACGGGACAAGCTAATTACGCCTTGTTATAATCAAGTTCCTAACCAATTAATTAATGTGATTGGATTCTAATTAATGCTAGCTAGATCCAACTAGTGAAAAGTGCAGAAGATCAGAGTGCAAGAGTGATAATTACAAGTTTTCTTCGTCCATTATTGAGCCACCATAAATCACCGATTTGTTGACCTCCGCATCAGCCAGAAGACTCTTGAGTCTAAAGAAGTGTTGTTTATTAACGATCCTCGCAATAGTGTTGGTTTCTTTCGGATTTTCTCCAAACATTTTCTTGATCCAGAGCTTCATCAATTCCACCTAAAGAAACCAAGAGTTAAGATCCGGAGATCAAACTAATTTATAAGATACTGAGCGGTGAAATGTAAATAAGCGAGACAAACCAGTGTGGAAGAGAATCTCTTCTCTACGAGGACGTAATCGACCGCTATACATGCTTGACCAGCACAAGTGCCATATTTGCCCACAATAATCCGTTTTATAGCCACCTGATATAATTCAACCAGTACCTCGATATTAATTAGATTTACATATGTGTGCGCCGTTCTAAATAGATGAAAAGAGATGAATATGTGAACCTCTAAGTCCCAGGAAGAGGAAAGGGAATCAACGAGGGCGGGGCATTTTCCTCCCAGCTCCAAAGTGAGGGGCGTCAAATGCTCCACGGCCGCGGACATCACAATCCGGCCCACTCGAGCACTCCCTGCTAATTTCATATTGGGTTTTTACGTATTATGATACAACTATGTTATTATTAGCTAACCGGCTGGTATAGTTATGATCCAACTGACCTGTAAAGAATATTTTGTCCCATCGATGCTCGAGTAATTGCTCCGCCACATCAGGCCCCCCCTGGACAACTTTAATGGCCTCACTGTCCAGGTACTTGGTGAGCCCAGAGGCTAGCAGAGATGACGACGCACACGACAACTCCGAAGGCTTTAACACTACACTGTTTCCGGCAGCTATTGCTCCGATCAGGGGTTCCAATGACAGTCCTGTACAATGTATAGAGCTGAATCACTTCAATTGAGAACGCAGAATTAATACAGGCGAGCGTTGAGTTACAGAAAGGAACTGAGGACGTAGAGCGACCTTGAAATCCATTTGTTAGAGTAAAAATTCTGAGTCTTTCTCATTCCTTAATTAAGTGCCACTCACCAAAGGGGAAATTCCAAGATGAAATGATGAGGACAAGGCCCAGAGGATCCGGAACAATTTCTGCACTGGTAAGCAGTGCTATTTGCGGCAATTTGGCCTGCCAACAATGAACAAACCACCCGGCAAGTTACATACTATTATTATACGTGGAGATCTTCGTATTGGAGTGATTTTTTCACTATAGACTTGTTGGAGTCAATTCTCACCTTTTGGCCCGACATCCATTCTCTCAAATTCTTCAGAGCAAAGTTTATGGACTTCATCACCGTTCCTACCTGCGAACATGCAGTAGTGTCCTCCGAGATGAGTTGATAATGATAATGAAGCGAATGAGTGTTGTTTAGAAGAGTAAGACCAGACACAAACCTCGTCTCTAAAAGCCTCTACACGATGTTTCCCGAGATCTTGCAAGAGAGCCCTGGAGATGTCTTCCTCCTTCTCGATGAGGAAACGACGCAGCCCTTGAAGTTGACATTCTCTCCAACTTGCCTCTTTGGTCTTCCCACTCTTAAAGTAATCCCTCATCTTCTTTACATCTCTCTCCATGGCGTCCTTCTGGTGCTTTATTTTACCACTGTGCGCTCTCTTCTTATATTCTGTCCTCCGATACGCTAATACCTTCCAGTGCTTTTTTAATTTACTTCAAACAAAAGAGGAGAGAAGTCATTATTCTTAGAAAACTTCCTAGGCTGTTAAGCAACACAATTCAAGAGCCAAATGTGGCCATCATTCTTAACTACTTTCATGTGAAGGCATCAGCAAACATATTTGAATAGGTAGGAAGTGTGGCTAGGAAGGTTGTTGTCTCTCCGCCCAGATTTGAGGACGGTCTTTTTTTAAAAAAAAAAAAAGAATCAGAATAAAAGGAAGGAAAAAAAAGATGGAAGGATCCTTCTTTTGTTTTTTTTTTTTTTAAAAAAACTGAATCTCAGATTTTCAAATTATGGATGTGAAAAACTTGACTGAAAATGGTTCCAAACCTACCTTCCAAACTTTCTAACTCAGTTTCTAGGATTTCCAAATTGAATGTGAACAAGAACCTTTTAGTCGATTGATTTTTCCTTAAGTGTCAGTAACACTTAAAAATTTAGAGATTTATATTTGGACTATTTTTCCACGTAAAAATACAAATGATATGCCATATCTCGATGTTAAGTATATAGAGTAATTTTTTTGTTCGTTGGGAATTCTCTAATATATTTTTCACTATATAAAAATAATTAAATGTTTTGAAAGTGGTGCATCATATATATTCGTTCTAGCAAAAATCATTTAAATCAAATAATTCTTTTTGTATTGTTAATGATATCTTCATTAAAATATTTCTCTTCGATCGTCTTTATAGTTAGCCAGGTTTTAGTAAAGAAATGTAAATAATATGATACAATGATTGGCTAAGCCTCTGGTAAATACTAATTATTTAGCTAGTGAGGGTGGGCAAGGCGATGGTAAAGTCTTTGTACGAGACATTAAATTAAATGCATCCTTGGAAGTGTATGTGTTTAGGGAGACATGTACTCTACCTTGTCTATTATAAGGCGCTTCCTAACAGAAATGGATCATGGATGGTCCTTATTATGAGCCAAGTGAGATATTTATACCTTTTTTGTTAAATTGTCCTTGTTTAAAATTTGATGTGATTTTCTTTTTCTTCGCAAAATGGAATTTATGATTTTAAATATAAATAAAATTAGGTTTTTTGTTTTAAAACAAATTCAATAGCCTAACCACCTCTCCTTAGGTTTGATGAGGTGATTATAATAAAAACGAGAGAATGATTATTATGAGGATAGTCGAACATGATACTCCTTCAGTACTTAATATAGAATCGAATTAGAAGGCTAATCTTAATTTTATATATATAACCTATTTCTCATATTTATCAATTTTTTTCCTAAATTACCCCTATTAAATAATTAAATACCATAATAATACTTATTACTCATTAATAATACACTTATGTATTTTATAAATTGAGTAAGTACTTATTACTCATTAATTCCACACATACATCAATTCTACCATTTTATATTTTTAATAAAATGATTTAAAATATTTTTTGAAATGTCAGTTTTTTAAAAAAGTTTTAATTGAGGGTATTTTGGGAAACATATGCCATATTTATAATTATTACCTAACTTAACTAACTTTCTTAATCTAACCAAAATAGTTAGATAGGTTTGATATTAAGGACCAGAGGAATAGTAAAGAAGTGCCTTTCAAACCCATTGTCAACACTAATTAAATACTATGACATATAGTTTTATAGAAGTATATGATAAGGTTGTTAAATCAAAATTAAAGTAATTTTGTGAACTCCCACCAACTTAACCATAAAACAAAGTAAAAAACCAAAACACCAAGCTACCTACCCCCACCGTCATCTTTAATTGATTTCCTGCTGTTCCCTGTTTTACTGTAGCAGTAGTAACGTTCTTATCGTTGCCCTGAGATTTCTTCTTCTATTTAAGTTAGCATTCAATTCTGTCAAGTACGGAATGGAAGTTTAACTACTCTCGTCCTCGCACATATGAACATGATAAAAATTTCATTCTGCTACAAGTTTGAACCAGCGTCCCATTCAATTATGCCCACATGAACTGATTTTAGGTGGCTCATAATAGACATTTTTTGTGGCAAGTAGTAATTAGTATGGCCTTAAACATTCAGTCAGGTTTTGATCTGGCGGAGTGCGCGGAGGGAGTTTTGTAACCAGTATTAAAGCCTATTTAGAAAGTCTACGGCAATAAAAAAAATCATGGTTACCGATCAGGATACCCTGGAGCCAGTTAAAAAAAAAAGGAGTCGCATTGCCCATTGTATCGAATAAAGAGGCCTTTGTTTTATCAACAAATCTGGGGAGATCGACCTGAAGGGCCCATGCTATGGTTTGGTTGGGTTGTGAAAAAGACGAATGGAGAAGACCGGTTCCCAGAAAGGACAGATGGCAGATCGTAAATGAGTGTAGCATTGGGGTGGGGGGGACAGGTGGCGTGGCCGTTGGGTATAAGGGGGCAAATCTACTTAAATACGGTTGCGTAATTGTAATGTACGACTACCACCAGCCTCCTAACAAAATTGCAAGAGCCAGGTTCGCGTCGGAGAGGGACTTGGATCCTCTCCACTACCTTCCCATCCTCTTCCTCTCCACTACTTTTCTTTTCTCTTCACAACCATTGGATCAAAATTCCAATAGTCCAGATTTAATATCTTATAAAAATAATATTATTAAAAAAAAAATTTAAACGGTTAAAATCTGGTCTGAACAGTTTACAATTGTAATAAAAAAAATTAAAAAAATTTACTTTATAATAACAGTCTGTAGTTATGAACTGTTCATATTAGATTTTAACAATTTAAATTTATTTATCTATTTTTTATCATAATATTTATTTTTATAAAATGTTATAACATATTAAATCTGGACCATTGGAGTTTTAATCTAATGGTTGTGAAGAGAAAAGGAGAGTAGTGGAGGGAAGAATAGTGGAGAGAATCCAATTCCCGTCGCAGAGAGGCTAATCCCTGCTCCCTCCTTGCCTCAGTCTTTTAATATGGCAACCACCCACTTCGTCTTCTCTATTTAATACGATGACTTCTCCATCCAGCTACCTAAGGACCCCCAACACGCACCCCTTTGCCGTCTTTTTCGTCCGAATTAAGTAATCACATTAATACAACTCCCCTGCCTCCCTTCTCTCTTCTTAGCAAGTTTTTACAGGCCAAATACTCCCATCATCAATCATTCACTTTGAATCATTTCCTCATTTATATGTCCTCTAACCATTATCTCTTCCATCAAAACTAGAGCACTCTTTGCCCAAAAGAAAAACTACAGGACCCACCGCCCAATCCAGCTGAAAAACCAAATCACACCAATCCATCCTATCCAAGAACTAATCGTCAATTCGATCAGCACACGACAATAAAGTTGAATAATGAAACTGGTTAAATCAAACACAATTAGAGCAATTGAAAAATCAATCAATTATGCGTTCATCTCCTGTGGAAAAAAGTCCATCTCGTGCAGATATTAAAAATATTGAATGCAGGAGGGGGAAAATAATGCACACATGACGCATGCATGCGAACAAACACAACTGATAAGACATAGGATTACGGTAATTAGGACTTAGTTTAGATATTTAGGATTATCCTTTAAGAATTAAGATTCATTTTAGTTATTTATTTTTGAATGTTTTCATTATCTCTAATTCTGACATATCTACACTTGACCTGGTTTTTATCGATCCTCCCAATCAAATGAATTGAATTGTTAAAAGGACAACATACGACATTATTTGGGACTAGCTATACAAAATACCTACAGGCTCTACATAGAATATGTGCTCTCCCAATACAAAATCATCATGCACCGGCATGCACCCTCACAAAATATTTGCCAGAACATGCAAATGAAAATTCTTGAACTCTCAAAATCAAAATATCTATACCCATGGTGGCCGTCCTTTTCAATTCCCACTTGTTTGCTCAGTGGCAGTGACCTCAGAATGTCCTACCGTTTCATGAAGACGGGTAATGCTTGCGGAATTATGCGCCACTTGTGGGCTATCTGAATGAAATTTGATCTTGACTGGATTTCCTAGCTTTGATTTATCTTCCATTCTCGCAATTTCTAAAGCCTTTGTACAAACAGGAAAACCTCGATCATCCCATGACTCCAATATCACGCCAGATCCTATGCAAGTAGTTCCTTCATAGAATGCTGCAAACTGCCCAGCTGCCAGACCTTGATCATCATCGCCCAAGTGGACTACCGCAGTGTCTTTTCTCCCATCTCCATCTCCTTCCCATTGTAAACTGCAATTATAGAAGCCCGGACCGTGTCTTACCTGAAATGATTATACATACAAGCGATTACAAGGGACACAAGAAAGATTTCTCACGCCAAAGAGAAAAAAGCCAACCCCTACACTTTTCTCAATAAAATAATATTAATCTTTGTCCTCCGCGTGTGATAAGGATTATTGTTGTTCGCATTTAATGCATATTATTTTAAAACCATAATAATCTGGTGAGGCAGGAATAATGACAGATGGCTCAGTTCAGCTTCTCAACCTAGAAAAGCTTACTCCCATTTAGGACTTTGCATGCTCGGGTTCAATTGATATTTTATTGTGACAAATTTTCATAATGAATTGCATGATTAGCTACCCTAAAAAAATGGGAATCAAAGTTTCAGCTTTCCACCTTGCACTGGAGCTGACTCGTCCGGCTTGGAGGTAGTCCACTAAGCCACTTCAAAGAACCAACACGAAATAGGCGCCTTCTTTTGTCCAAGGAGAAGTAATTTCTTGACACAAAAATTACATTGTTTTTTACATCCTTCTCAACAACGTACCTGCATTAAATATCCAATGGGATGACAAGTTCTTTAAGAAGCCCAAAGTTGACTGGCTATGTTGTCACCGGGGAAAAAAAAAAAATTCTCCCGGACATGAATGAAATGAAAGCATTTTGTCATATGAATCTGGGTGGAGATAATTTTTGGGGTTAAAAATTGCTCCATCCAAGTGAATGATCAAAAAGTTAAAATTCTGGACAGCAGCAACTAATATATATACACACAAAATTTCCGCACCTACAAGATATGGTCTTCAATATCGTGCAATATATAAATCATAAAACGTATCAAATAAATAAAATTGATGCTGAAAAGAAATAGCCAGAGAACAAACCAGGGGCCTCCAGGTAGGCGTAGACCCTGGCGTTGACCAATCGTATGAAACCAAAAGCCTCGATGTTTGCCAAGGAAATCTCCAGTTTCAGCTTCCAGAATGATGCCTTCTCTCTCTCCAATGTGTCTTGCAACAAATTCACTGAACTTTATCTGAGTCAAAGGTAAACACACATATCATATCATATCATATAAGAAAATTATCTGCAACAAGCCTTACAAGAATGATACGCATATGAACAGAGTAATGGGAAAGTTAAAGAGCTTGGTTTTCATTTTGATATTTTCACTCAAAAGAATTTGAAGGATAAACCCAGATTTATAGATGAACCAGATATTCTTTAACATATTGATACAGATTGATATTTTGCGCCCATACCTTGCCCAGGAAGCATATTCCTTGTGAATCCCTTCTATCCTTATTTGGCAGATCAAATTTGGCAGCAAGTCTGCGGACTTCATCCTGCAGATGATTTTGGCAGGAGATAAAAGTCTAGTGTAACAACTATCAGAATTTCTCAATACAGAACATAATAGTCGAGGATATGTACTGATACGGTAATACCAAATTGTCTGACAAGTATATTCTTCTGCAATACTCGATTACACAACATAAAAAAATGGAATAACAACAAATGACAAAATTAAATGTCAGTTAAAGATTGCAAGATATTAATCAAAACAAACCTTGGAAATACAACCAAGAGGAAAAATAAGTCGCTTCAGCTGGGACTGGGATAGGTGCGAAAGGAAGTATGTTTGATCCTTGATCTACAATTTCAAAATCCCTTTTAGAACACAGCAGCATTGAAAAGTTTTTGGAAGCAACAAACATATTTGCGTATCTCATACAGATACCACGTCTTGTGATAGTTCCAGAACACAAGGCTTATCCATTTGATCTGCAGGTGGATGGACAACATTTGCATAATGTCCAGAGGAAACATAGTCAAACCCCATATTGCTGATTGCATCCATGAATGCACCTGATGAAGCAATACTTGCTTAACGAAATATGAAAAAAGTGCATGAAAAAAGAAAAAGAGGGGAGGAAAAAAACACCCACCCACCCACCCACCCACACGCACACAATGTAAGACTAGGTCTGCTGGATGCATACCAAACTTTATTCTGGAATTGCAGAGAACATCTGGATTAGGTGTACGGCCACAACGATACTCTTCAATAATGTGAGAAACCTAATACACAGGTGAGTAATCCAAATAGGAGACAGGCACAAATTATGGATCAATACTATTGAAATTAGAAGACATTTATTGAAAAAATGGCACGTGACCAAAAATTTAAACAACTAGAGTTGCACATTGACAACAACATGCTCAAAGGGCTTTACATACCACATGTTTCCAGTATTCATCTGTCAAATGCACGACTTCTAATGGTACATCAACCTGAAAACCAATAACATGTGCATTTCCATTGATGTAGTTTTCACCATGATGTATGATCAAGATCACAACGTGAGTTATTCCATCTAATATAAGAAGAAAGTTTAGAGCCTTCTCATATATTGGTTGAAAGGAAAACCAGTACAGTTAAGCAAAGAACACAAGAATTTTGTTTCGTTGATTGATGTTAGTAGCAGTTGCAAGCTATCAAACAATCCTACTGATAAACTTGCTCCAAAAAATCTGAGGAATGAATCAATCTTTATACCAAAAGATGACGATGCTACAAAGGAGAAGAAAGATACCTGATTGCAAACTGCTCTGGCATACTTTAAATCCTCTTCCCATGGGCATTCTGACCAAAAGTTTTCAAAGTCTTCCTGCAGAAAATCATGTGTTAAACCAGCTTCTCCTAATGCAGAGAATGCAAATGCCAGATGGACCCGTTAGACATAAACATGTGACCACTTGATGGGAACTGAAATAGTATACTACTACAACAACAACAGTAATAACAACAAGCCTTATCCTCCTAAGGGATTAAAGTTGTATAGTATACCTAGAATCATCATATCTGACGCGAAGCTCATTTCAATCATGGTTAAAGTAGTATAAGCCACCTAGAATCACCATAACTGACAACAATAATAACAACAAATGCAGAGATTTTTTTTTCCGGAAAAAAAATGAAACTTTTTTCTTAAAGCTGACGCGAAGCTCGTTTAAATCCATATCCTAGAATCATCAATCATAGCCTACTAATAAACGACTTCATTGTCATAGAACAGGCAGCTCACACAGTTAAGTCATGATAGAGGGGACACCATGATTTTTATTCATTTATTTTTTACAGGAAGAGACACGATGTTATATAAAGAAGAAGAAGCAATTATATAGTTGAGGTAACAAAGAGTTGAAGCGTACTTGGAACCATATCTTGAGGTAGAAAGCAGTGCAGGAATGGCCAGCAGCGTGGAGTAAACGGAGAGCAACGCTGCTGTCAACGCCGCCGCTGAGAAGAACAGCAACTCTGAGACGCTTGTGCGGCATGGAACAGCGCAAGTAGGGCTGCACCTCAGCATTGGAGGTTCCATGAGAAGCTGGAACTTGGGCAGGTGCAGAGGAGTGTCGAAGGAAGAGTTTAATGCTGGAAAAGCGGATAGGGGATTTGGGGAAATGAATCGGGTCCAGGTTGAGCCTCTGTAGTTCGAAGGAAGGGAAGTACTGAGTCAGAGGGGAAGAGGTCAGCCGCGACCCCCATCGCAGGCCCGACATTGCCATTTGCCTCATCCCACCCGATTTTCGCGAAACCAAGGCCCCGAGTGGGATACTAACTGCCCCGCAAATCACAGGGGCTACATCGGAATTTAGGTTCATCAATCGGCTGGCAAAAGAATTCTAATATAAAAACTCATTTAATTTTTATTTTAGTCTTAAATATAAAATTTTAATTCATTTTATTTTTTTATATTTATTTATATTTTTAAGACAGCTCTTGTAATAACAGTAGTTTTAACCAATACACATAATTAGTAATGATATTTTAGAGGTGGTAACATTTATCACGAGGGTAAAAGTCATTTAGAGGTGTAACTGCAAGGTAAATTAAGTAATCAACATGTGTTCTTTGAAACAATTTTACTTACTTTTTTTCAAAATATTTAAACCTACTATGGGGGTGTTAGCTAAAATAAACCAAGCTAACATAGTCTGATATCCAAAGCTCTAGTCTAGATAAGACCACTCATTCTCAACTCATCAACAGGCCGCGTTAGAACTCCTATCTTTAAATACCAGATCTAGGATAACTGGAAAAGTCGTCACTAAACACACCTTAAAAGATCGTAGTCAGATTCTATTTCTAATACACAGGATCCTCTTAGAGAGGCAAGTGTAGAGCATACTTAGAATCTCTAATGATAGAAAAAAGGTATTATAAGTGAGGCTTTCAGAAGAAGAGAGGAATTTATAGAGAAGCCATGAGGAAAGCACACTAGTGTTATATAAGGAAGTTATTGCAACTCCTTATGCCTTTAACCATGGGCAAAGCGTGGTTTATATAAAGACTTTGGGTAATAACATGACAAGACCTAATAGTAAATATTCTAGACACCATCATTACAACATGACATAAAGACAAAGATGCCTTTAATCATTACAACAAAACAAATTACTTTAATTATTACAACAAGACAAAACCACTTTGATAAAGATAAAGTTAAAATAGATGTATGATATAAAGCAGATTCTTAGTGGGTCCTCCCTATCTTTTGATGTGACACAAAGTAGATTCTTTAATGATTATGTCTATCATTAGTCTTTGTAGATAGGTTCATGAGTTGGGGACAAGTTCATGACATCTTCTGGGTCAAGTTGTCAACATTAGAAGCATAGATTCCTATTATGTAGTGTGAATGTGGTTTATGGCTTCTTGTAAGTTGGTATTCTTCAAACTTTGTGAGCAAGGCCTCATCATCATTATCATCATCTTTGTTAGGATCTTGGGACTCTCCTGTAAGAAATAGAGTTTGTCATTGAAGGCTTGGCTAAGGGAGACGGAGTTCTTCAGGTTGAGTGAGTTGGATATGTGAATCTCCTTGGTATGAATCCTGGGATCCTTCTACTGGGAAAGTATTTGTTGGAATCGAAGGTCTAACAGCACGCAAGGTGAAATTTCTCGAAAATTCTTCAAGAGTTGAAGAAGTGCTAGCCCTATGTGGCGAACCAGGAGGACTTGGAGGAAAAAGGTCCAAGAGAAAGACATGCAAAGTCTTCTCCTGTATTTGGTTCATTAAGTGTCGTTAATGTTTTTTCAAGTTTTTCCATTAATAGCCTTTCATCTTTTAGCCATAGGGGGGAAGTAATCTAGAGATTTAAATGGTTGTTTGTGTAAAAATTTCTATCAGCATCTTTACCATAATATCTGTAAAAAGTAAACAAACAGAATTTTTTTTTCTATTTTGAGGATGATGTATTCCAAATATTATACTTATCTAGGATATTTCCAAATGTTATACTTATCCAGTATATTGTAAAGTTTTTCTCTCTAGTAGGAAAGAGGAGCAAGCATCTCAAAATGAGTGATAAGATGAGAATTTTGATTTCTTGAGTCACACAAATGGTGGTATATGGTTAAGGCTGAGAAAGCGATGACACAAGTGTAATTGGTTGAGATGGACCAAATATACCATAAAAGTTCTTCTGGTATAGGTCCTTTGATGATAGGTATGGTGAGGTATGGAGTATTAGCATCAAAGTGCTGAGGATATGGGTGAATTCCAATGTTCATGAGAAGAAGGTGGAGCCAATACAACATTGTGCTTCTAGCAAGGTTTTGGACATCTATTGGGGTTTTAGGACAAGATCCAAGAGAAAAAATGGTGGCTCTAATTCTATGAGGCATTTCTGATTCAAAGATGGATAAAATGTAAAGAGGTGAGTGTGTGGAGAATGATAAGAGATTTGGAGGGTGAGTTGCTTTCTAAGGTCTTGAGAGGTAGTTTGCAATGGTGTTTTGATGTCCTTTGAGATAATGGATATTGAATTTATAGCAAGAAAACCAGTCTTTCTATTCGAGTAATTGGCTATCTGGCAAGATCTTTCCCTTAGAATTAAGCATCTTAGGAAAAGACATATTGTCCATTTCTATTCTGAATTGATAAAGACTGAGATAAAAGTTGAATTTCTCAATCCGTCTTTTGACTACAAGAACCTCCTTATAGGTAGCATGATAATGCTTTTCTGACTCCTTGAATTGTCCACTTGCATGTCCACAATAAGATCTTTTTCCATTTATTCCTTCAATTAGAACAGCTTCCCAAAAATCACCACTGGCATCAGTTCAAGGGATTCACAATCCTTTGTCAAGAATCTTTAAAGGAGATGGATGCTAAGCAATTCTTTTGAGAATTTGGACGGTTGAAGTCTGGTCTGTTTCCCATACCGGAGGATTCTTTTTCAGAACTGGACAGCTGGCTAATGTGATTGGACACATGAGGGATAAAATCCCTAAGATAATTGACAATCCCAAAAAATTGCTAAATTTGTTTTGTTGTGAGATTCTCATTTAGAAACTTGAGCTATTCTTTGCAATATGTGATCCAGAATAATATTGACCATTTTCAAAATTCATTCCAAGGAATTCTATGCTTGTGATGCCTATTTCTCCTTTCTTTGCCAACAACATGATCCCATGGTTTTTTTTTTCAATTATTTCCCTGAATTAGGTTAATAAAAGCTTGTGGGAGTTTTCATCTTTTGAGAAAAGCAAAAGATCATCTATATAGATGAGAAAGTTATTAAGAATAGGTTCAAAGATTCTGGTCATGGCCTTTTGAAACAGTGATGGGGCGACGTTAAGCCTAAATGGCATATCAATCCATTGATATTAGGCATTTGGAATGCAAAAAGCAGTTGTAGGGCGATCTTCTAAGTAAATACCCAATTACCAGAAACCCATTTTAAGATTAAACTTAGCAAAGATCTTGGCATCCTTAAGATGAATTGTAAGTAAACTGGGCTTTAGTAAAGGGAATTTGTCATCTTGGAGAAAGATGTTGAGAGGTTTATAATCAATAACTAACCTTTTCTTTCCTCTTTTGACTTCTAATCTTTTTTCAACATAGAATACTTGGTAAGTCCAATCAAATTTTGTTGGCTCAATGAGGCCTTGTTTGAGAAGTGCAGAACATTTTTCCTTGGCAAGTTTGAGGTTTTATGGATTCATTCCTAGATAAGAAGCCTTTATGGGATTGATGTCTTCATTCTTCTTGAAGGAGAGTTTGATGAAAAACTCTTGATTTTTCCATAATGGAGATGGATGAGAGAACTGTTGATGACTGTTAGTACAAAACTTAAGAAGATGATCCCAAATGCCTTTATATTCAAGTGGTGCTTGTTAGATTTCAAACAAACTAGGAATTTTAGTATATGTACTAAAAAAAATTTATATTTAATTCCTATAGGCAATACCCGAAGGTTCTTAGTGTGATAATAAGCATCAAATCCAATAAGGATATCTTTTTAAGGTAGATCACTTCCAAGAACTTTAATCCATAAAACACATCCTGAAAAGAATTGGATACCAATTTTTCTCCGTGTAATCCATTCAATCTTAAATAACTTTGGATATGTAGTGACAAAATATTGATTGAAAGGAATCCATTCTTCAGAAGGAAGAATGTTAGGCTTCATGATAGTTCTGCAAGCTCTAGTATCAATGAAACCAACAACAGTAATTAGTTTTTCATATTTTCCTGAAAGGATATGGATTTTGAAATTTGGTATGGGAATGGCTTTATTAGATTTTGGTTGAGAAGAAAGAGATCCAAGGGATCCTAGAGAAAAGAAATTCTGTTGTAGGGTATAGATAGGTTGTTCAAGGGGATATAAATACTCTTGGTGATCATCATCTTCTCGGGATGAAGATTCAGAATGAGCTTCTTCATCTTCAGAGAAAGGAAGAACATATTGTGTTTCTTCATCTTGAGCATCTTGTTCTTCAATAACAGATTCAATATCTTCATCCTCATTGATTATTAGAAGAGTCTGCAAGTGCTGCAACATCTTCATATCTCCTTTTGTCTTGTTAGGATAATTTTTTGCAAAATGTCCTTTATTTCTGCATAAATAGCATCTATCAGACTTGTTTGAATAAGGCCTGTGCTTCTTGAAATATCTCAAAAAAGGCTTTCTAGATCTTTTCTGGAATATGAGCCCTTTGGATATCTGAATCGACGATAATGAGATTTTCTCTTGGTAGAACAAAAAGCAATCTTTATGATCTTTGCACTTTATCTTCAGATAAGGTTTCTTGTAAGCAGGCTTCAGTTTTGATTGTCCTTTAATCATCCCTTTGAAAAAATTTTGTTGTTCATACAGTTTATCCACAGCTAATGCCAACTGGTATATTTCTTCTATAGAAATGTCAGTCATTTTTTTATGGAGTGCATTGATAGCTTTATGAAGTTCTATTGCAATTTATTTGGAAGAGAGGTAATAAAAGTATGCCTGAGGTTGACATTATTAGCTCTTCCTAGCATGTAGTATTTTTCAGACATTCTCTGGAAATGCTTCTGTAGGTCTCTTTTGTCCAGAGAACAACATTTCATCTCAAAGTAGTCCTGACGATGTTTTTTATCAATGATTTGGAAATCACCAATGAATTCTTTGTGAATGAGTCCTAAGAGAGTTCCTGCATTATCGACTTTGACTGCTATAATTTTCTGATAGTTACTGAGGCTTTGAAACCATTCTCTTAATGTTCCTGTTAGTCTTAAGAGAAATTTTGTGAGAACTTTCTCAAGATTTGTATCATGTCTGGCAAACTGAAAGTCAATTCATGCTCCAAACTTATGGAGTCTATCTCTCCATTTTTCTAGAGGAAGGTCATCAAAAGTGAACCATAGACGTGTAGTTGGCTTGTAATATGTTCTTTTTGGCTCCAATGGATTTGAGACAAATGGTTCTCTGTCAGAGAGATCTTCAAATGTAGGATCTAGTTGGACTATTGCTATCCTGGAAATATCAGCTTGATATGTTTCAGAGTCAGAGTTAGAGTCACATTCAACAGAAAAGCTGGATTCAATTTCTGAGCTGTCAACTAATAATGATTGAAATTTATTTAAGGATTGGAGAGAGGCTATGGTTTTGCTTGGATCGGCAACTTCCTTTTTCTTTTCTCTATATGGAGAAGTTTGTTTTAGTAAAAATGATGGTGGAGTTCTGATTATAATTCCTTGAGAGGATAGTGTTGGTTCAGTAGGTTTAGTATATGAGGGTGAGGGTTGAAGAGGATTTTCAGATGAGGGAAAATGAGGTGGTCATACTAGAGGTGTAGGAAGAGGATTTGGTTGTACTAGTGGAAGAGTTGGTTGAGGTTTTCTCAATTGTCTTAAAATAGAATAAGACATTTTAAAAACCTTACTGTAATCAGACTCTTTTGGATAAGAGATAGCTGATGTTGGATAGGTATGAATTTGGAAATTGAAAGGGTAAGATGGAGAAGGGTCATAGATGGTTTGTGAATGATCCTTTGCAATATCTAGCTCGATCCTTTGTAAATCCTTTTAGATCTGTGATAGTTCTTGCTCTTTTATGGTAAATTATGATCCAATGTATCCTTTTCAATAAGCTGCTTCAAATTTGCATCCAATTAATAAGCTTGAGAAGACAAGGTCATATAAAGTTGTTTGACCTAATCAGAGATTTGATCTAGTCTGCTTGTCAGAGTGTCAATTCTAAGAGTTAACAAATCAAGCTTTGAATCAATCTTTGTCAAGGTTCTGTTATGACAGATTGCATTCTAAGTTTGCTAGTTAAGAACTTCTTCTGCTGCTGAGACTGGTCTAGCTTCACTAGTAGGATTAACTACTTGAGTAATTGCAAGACATGCATATGATATGGACTAAACTTGAGTTTTCAGGCAAAAGTACCTAATAAATTTTATTTTATTTTTAACATTAATTAAATTCTTTAATTCTTCAGTGAGAATTCATTGTATGGAATAGAAATAAAATGAAAAAGCATAATTTTCTAATGTTGAAGTTAAAAAAGGAAAAAAAAATTATTCTCTCCCTGTTGGTTATCGTGGATCGACAAATCATTTCCAATCCTCGGAACTGAAGTCAATGCTTTCCCTATAGTTCTGTACAAGGAAATCGCATGTTCATGAATCGTTTACAAGGTTTTTGTCTGTTTAACAAATGTTTTTCAACATGTGAACATTTTCTTGGGCTGACACTACTATTGGACTTTGTTCATTGTACAAGTCTTTTTTTTAACTAAAACTGAAAATCATTCGTTCATATCCAAAGTTACAAATATACCCCCAAAAAAAGAAAGTTGCAACAAAAGCAAAACAAGCTGAGCTTACAAAGACTGGATTACTAAGTTCACACCCTCCCCCTCTTAAAGACGCGTGCGACAATGATGGCTTCGGGTTTAATCCCCTCTTGGCTGTTTATTTTTACGCTTTAGACCCTCTAAGGTAATACTGTTTTGATCTTTAATACAAGACTTAAGCGGGTAGTTGATACTGTTCCTACGTATAAAACCTCTTTTACATGTTTATCAATTTTTCTCTGAATTAACCTTATTCATATTTCTTTAATACTGATCAAGTAGAAGAGGAAGAGGGAAATTAATAAAGATGCCTCAGGTTTTTAGAGAGCACATATCATATTAACTAAGTTAATTAATATCTTTAATTTACTTAAATTAGTTAATTAAGCCTGACAAGAGAAGTAGTTGATAATAATAATAATAATGTTTCATGATATACAAAAGCGTAGAAAAATAATAAGCAACTAACTAGATTCCCTCTAATGGTATGACTGATCACAAAGTTTTTAACACTTACAGATGTCATACCATATTTTAACTCAAAGCATTTAGGTATATATTACCTCCAGTCTTAATTATAAGAGTTTGTTTGTAGTGAAGTCTTATAATTAGAACCGGAAACAGTAGATCCTTTTCATTTATATCAATAGAGTAGAGTTACGTCTACAGACCCATATCCTGGAATCGTGACAAAGCCGCATCCCATGCCTTTATTCATTCTCTTCGAGCCAACGCTTACCACCCCATGAAAAGGAGATCATAATTACCAGTATTTAAGTCACTGAAAATGTGTCCCTTGATCCATTCCAACATCACTTTTTTTCAAATTCTACGTTAAAAAACTCTGCTGTCGGCGCAATAAGGCCACGAAATATGGATTTGTGTTGATGCTCATGGCAGATAAGTATCCGTTTACATAGAAGACTTATTTTTTTTTAAAAAAAATTATTATTATTATTATTATTTGCCCCCTTCTCACATCACTGCCTTTCATCATCTGTATCGTTTTTGCAGCTGCTTTATTTGAATGGTTTGATTTCTTTGGTTTTCCTCATAAGGGTCCGGCCCTGTCTTTAGTTATTCACGGTGGTTGTAGATTATTTGGAGTATTGTTGGCGATTGGTGGACCCCCTCTCATCTAACTCATATGTAGTCCAGTCACGCTTGCTTGCTTCTTAGCCGATCATGGCACACCGTAGAGAGAAAGCATGTCAAAAACTAAAGCAACTTCAACGGCAGTGCTGATTCAATTCTCGATGTTTTGCTGCTTTCTCAATTATATTGCATTGTGACTAATCATTACATGCTTTGAACTTAAAATTGATCATGCTATGCTGCTAATGGCATACAATAATGGAAATATGAGATTACCCAATAATAATCATGCCCCTGTTTCCCTCACCCCGTATTCCATTGATCCCCGTGTTCATTATTGTTGCATCAGTGCATGATTTGGTGATTGAATAAAAACATCATCTACCTCCTTCCTTATGGCCGCTTGCTCCCTGTCGGTGGATTCCCATGGAGCTCATGCTTCTTTTCCTTTTTTGTAGTATTGTCTTGCAACCCTAACGGTTTGCCATCCTTTCCTTATGCGGGAAACTTGCATCCGTTCCCACCTTGCTGCCGCACTGGACCCATAATTCCTACTTTTTCCTATCATCCTCGTGCTTCTGAGGTTTAGCCCCTGTCCAACCCCACTTTAACTACCGCAGTGCCTCTATACACACACAATAACCACATCCCAAATGAGATATTTTAAAGTTATGGAGTGTATTTGACTTTTAAAAATATTGTATGACTAAAACATATATTTATTTTCTTCAAAGGCCGCTACTCTTTTGATGACGTTATATATCTTCATATTTGTGTGTCAACTCCCCCTCGGGGGGCTTGTACACCCGCACCTAGAGCTGTGTAAAAACCTAGTGGTCCGGTATGGTTCAGTCCAACCCGAGCAAACCTGGTCTAGTCCGGTCCAGAAAAAATTGACCCGAAACAAGATTGGACCAGACTGGATCGTACTAGTCTCATCGGGCTGGATTGGACTAGGGATTGACCTCTCAGACTAGTTGGTCTAGTCCAGTCTAGCCCAGTTTTTTTTAATTATTATTTATATAATTTTAATTTGATTTAATTTTTCTATGTAAGTTTTTTATCTATTCAAATAATTAAGATTTACCTATTAACTTCCTAAGTAATGAGTATGTGTATATATTTTCTACGATATAAGATTTATATTAATGAGGATTAATTAATAAAACATGACATTATTGGGAAATTGAAAGGGAATGATAAAATTTGATGAACTTTGGATTAAAATATGTGTAAAATTTTATATAATAAGTTACAATCTTGCCTCCTATTGAAGGAAAAAAAATTTAAAATTAAATTCAGGTCTTGAACTGCCTAGACTAGTCCAGGGAGTCCAGAGGACCAAGTCCAGTCCAACCCGACCTCGGGTTGCTACTGGACTGGACTAGGCCTCTAGCTGTCTTTTTCAACCTGAGGTCTTTACTGAACCAGACTTTGGGTTGATAACAAACCCAGTCTAATCTGGTCCATGCACACCCCTACCCGCACCCAAGAGTGAAGTAGATATGTGATATCTCCAATTAGGGCCTCGTTTTGCAGGTTGTAATATCTTCCGCGACTAAACACCAGCCATAGATGTCTATGTCTGTGCTCCCTGCTCTATGAAAGACGGTATGACAAGTCAATTATTTGTTGCGCCATTTCTTTCCTCTTTTTCTCCCACATGATGCGCCTTTGTTTGGGGAAAATGATATGCACGACATTAACAGAACGCTAAAAGCCCATAACTTCCTTAAATCACAAACTATTAAACTCTTATTCAGTGATTCACAGCTAGTCCTGCAAAATTAGAGCTGCTCTATTTGATCTTTGAAAATCATGAGTCCTTAAACACGCAGATCTTAAGGTGACCCATACAAATAATATTTTCCACCATGCAATCATGTAGCTTTAGGCCTCATCAGCATCTATGTTGTATGGTGCAAGTGGAAAACTTGGTTTAGTTACAAAACAGATTCGGATGTACAGAGGAGTTACTTGTGCTGCCAATTAGGATGATGATTAGCTTGTGAGTGAAGTTAAATGAGCAGGGGAAAAGACAAAGCCATGGAGTCAAAGACAAGACGAACACCTACTTATCTCATTTCCATCAGGTTCCTCTCCAAACCGTTCTCAACTAGACCCATCAACCAACCTCTCTGCCACTCTTATTACGCTTTCCCTGTTTTTGTAAGCAAGCCCCACCCTATCGCCGTCTTCATCATCACCATTATTTTATTCCCACCTCATCGTGAAGCTTGTCTGTGACATTGCTGTCTATATATAAATCCACGTTTCTGTTATCTACATCAAAACTAGATGGGAGCTATATGAGACATGGCAAGAACATAGCTAGGTCCAGATCAGGTTGCTGCGTAGTACAATGAGGAAGTCCGAGCCATCTGGAAAAAACAAGCAGCTTAGAAAGGGTTTGTGGTCACCGGAAGAAGATGACAAGCTCATGAGGTACATGCGCAACAATGGACGAGGTTGTTGGAGTGATGTGGCCAGGAATGCTGGCTTGCAAAGGTGTGGCAAAAGTTGTCGCCTTCGATGGATCAATTATTTGAGGCCTGACCTTAAACGAGGCGCTTTCTCACCCCAAGAGCAACAACTCATCATCCATTTGCACTCCCTTCTTGGCAACAGGTTCCTCTCTCTCTCCCCCCCTCACACACACTCTCTCTATATAAATGTGTGTGTGTTTGCTCGACTATTTCTTAGAACACGACTGTTACATATGCATATATAACGAGCTCGATATATTTCTTATAAGGATAGGTGTTTAGAGTATTATATTCATTTTAGCGCTGTCACTCTATATTAATGAAGGAATTCATGTGAAGATCATCTTCTAACATATTGATTAAAACATGCAACCTCCCGCTAGATCAAACTTTCCATACACATTGACCGTACCTACTTCTCTATGTGAGCGAAAACAAGAACTTACGAGTTCAGATAAGATGGCTAAGACCGTACTAACTACGTGCTCTCAGCTTTGTGCGTCTGGACTTGGAGTTGAGGGCACTCCACATCTTTATTTATTTATTTTTGGTTCAACTAGCGTCCATGAAAAGCATTTGCTAGCTTCATATGTAATGAAAGAGGCTTTAATTAATTCAGGCCTTAATCTCGTTAACAGAAGCTGACTTGAAATGGTGTATATATAAATGTTTCATGTTGAAAGATGGTCCCAAATAGCGGCACGCTTACCAGGACGAACAGACAATGAAATCAAGAACTTTTGGAACTCCGCAATGAAAAAAAGACTCAAGAATTCTTTGGGCGCGAAAGACTTCAACATGGGAGGGCTTGTTTCTGCTCAATATCAACATAGCTTTAATGTGCCTATGTTCAACTCGTCTCCATCTTCATCAACAGTTGACAGGATTCCTGAGCGAAGATTGCAGTGTGCATCAGGTGGATTACTCTCAGGAAGTCAGGTGGTTGAGGGGGTAGACATTGGAATATCAGAAGGGGATCAGTTGTTTGGTACTCTAGAGGCCACTGCCAACCTCAAAGGGGAGAGCACGTGCCACGCACACACCACCAATGCTTACTTTGAAGACGTAAACGGTAGTATGGCTGATCACTGTGACAGAGCTGAGGCGGAGAATTCATTTGAACTAGAGTTAATCACGGGCATGGAAGAGTGGAATCTTGAGGATATCATGAAGGATATTCCATCTTCTTCCTTCCTTGATTTTTACCCCGGCTTTTTTTAACCACCTCCAGCCATATATGTATATATATCTGTGTGCCTGTGTGTGCCCATCTACTTGAACCTCTTGTGATATCTGAAACTTTTCCGCACATATGTATATTGGAGTTAAGGTCAGATATTAACGAGTAGGTCTCGAAGTAAAAATTGAGCGAATGATCATGGGGTAATTATAGACATGCAATTTCCAGTTTAGGCGGACCTACGAGGAGAACGGCGTGCATATATGTTAGATGTACAATCAATTTTTCAAAACCACCACCATCCCCTGTATATATCCACTTATTTAATTACCTGAATCTCGTAATATCTGTACTTCTTCCATATATTTGATCAAATTCAAATATTAAAGTGTAGGTCTCAAGTTCCTACCTGGAACCAGTTTCAGTGCTCATCATTTTTATGAACATTCTAAATTCATCAAATCTGAACTATCTATATTTGATTTAAATGAGATATGAATAATTCATATCTGATGAGTTTAGAGTGCTTATGACTTTGATGACTACTGAAACTGATTCCTACTCGATATATACCTTCTTTCTTTCTTTCTTTTTATTTTGGTGCCGGCGGGCCGGCGTTTTTGGAAATACTCATATTTTCTTAATATATCTAGCTATACCATAGCTACACTGCTAGAAACATCGATATTGATGACAACTTTTGACTAGAGGAGTTTTTTATAGCTGCTCTCTCTCTCTCTCTCACCCGTATTGTCCAAAAAAAAAAAAGGTTATGGGCCCTTGTATTCATGATTGTGACGAAATGTTTTTCGTATTGTTAGTGTTGCTATGCAAAATCGTAGACAATTGGGTACCCTTAAACGAATTAAGGAGTCCGTTTTGGGAATTAATCCCATCAATAAGGAGAGTAAACAATATAATCGATTACTGGTTTGTTTGATTTCCGGAAAGTGAAGCAAGATCAATTTGGGTCATCTGCCATCATCACTCTCCTCTCAATAGTTGAGTTCCCAAAATCCCCGCATCAAAACTTTCATGGGCGGGGGTTTATTTCTGCCAATGCTAAAAGGTATGTTTCTTCTAGAAATCGTATGACTGCAGCAAGCTACTTTATTCAAAACATATTGACGGCAAGAGCCAAGGGACGCATCGGCTCTTATTACAACGTGCCCGGAGAAATTATGAAGGAATCTTAGTGACTTTAGAGCTTATTTTAATTTGTTCTGGACTTCTATCCTCTTTTTATTTTCAAAAACAAGATCAAATTTTTTCACTCTGCTTAAAGGGATCGATGTAATCATTTGACGTGAAACGAAAATTGAAACAGCATGCATGAATGGTCCATAACATGTTTACGGACTAAACAACAATTTTCAAACGAATGATATATATATATCATAACTAGTAATATTATCTAATCCAGTTTTATAAATAATTAATCAATGTAATGTACTATTTAAAGAACATTAGGATTTATGGATGAGTCGGCTAGAATTCAAGAATGGGAAGAAGTGGAATTTTAATACTACCTCCAGTCTTTAATATAAGATATTATTTGACTTTTATTTTGGCTATAAATATAATACCCAAATTTACTTTATCTCTCATATTTATATGTTTTTTTCTAAAGTAGTCATTCTAATAATGGTAGTTTTATCCAATATACTTGATTAGCAAGAATATTTTAAGAAAGACAGCACCCATTTATTATAAATAACTAGCTTAATTTATTTTTTTAATCTCCTCAAATTAGTCAATTAGATTTTTATATTTAGTACCGGAGGTAGTTATTTGTGGCGGGCGCACGCAGGCTATCAATTGCTTGTCATTGCAAAAGGATCGAAAACCAAACCTACTACAAAACTTTGTTGACGGATTATTGATTCATTATTGGGGATATCATAAAGTTCACTCAGACGACATGCGTGCAGCTATAATTCAAATTCAATTCAGTTTCATGATAGTCAAATTTATATAAAAAGAAAAACTGTAATACTATCAGTAGTTCTAATTATAAGATCAGGTTTGTAATTTAGACATGTGATCTTATAGTTAATTAGAACCAGAGGTAATATAACTGAATGAATTTGATCATGAGCATTATTGTTCGCTGCGCAAATTGGATAGGCCTCACGGAGGGAGGGCTCGTAAGATTCAATCCTCACAGTTAATATCCAGCTTTGAAACATTCCCCCGGACGTCTCTGCACATACATACATAGAATAATGGGAGAAATCAAGTAGGGTAGTAGGTAGTAGTAGTATTCAATAGACACGACATCATGCTGCCTCTCCCCATATAATATTGGAGCCCACTAATAACATTCGGTACTGCTAAGTGCTGAGGGGGTTAGGTAGTCGGATTCCATTATGATCCTCCCATCGGGAATCTCACTGCATTATTGTGTGTCATGCAGACTATATACATACGCTTCAATTCCCACGGCCCCATCCCCCACGCACCAAATGGCCTCTCTATCTCTCCCATCCCGCCACCTCCTTCCTAAGCTCACCCCCTTCCCTTCCCTCCACTCCTCCACCCAATTCAATCCCAACAAATTCAACCCCTTCCCAAACCCAACAACAAGACTTTCGTCTTTTAAACCCTTGCATCTCACCCATTTACTGGGCTTCACAACTACTGCCCCACGTGCTTCCTCCTCGGCTGCCACTGCTCGTGCCGTGCAGGCGGCTGAGCCATGGCAGGGGGCGCACCTCAAACCTTTAATGGCTTCCATTGCGACGGGACTCCTCCTCTGGTTCCTTCCTAAACCTTCTGGCGTTTCCACGAACGCATGGCAGTTACTATCTATTTTCATGGCCACCATTGTGGGCATCATCTCTCAGCCACTGCCTCTCGGCGCTGTGGCTATCCTCGGCTTGGCTGCTTCTGTACTCACCAAAACACTAACGTACGCCGCGGCATTCTCCGCCTTCGGCCACCAGATCCCGTGGCTCGTGGCCCTCGCCTTCTTCTTCGCCAAAGGATTTATTAAGACGGGGCTGGGCACGCGAATAGCCTACCACATCGTGTCCCTGGCTGGTTCTTCCTCCTTGGGGTTAGGCTACAGCTTGGTGTTCAGCGAGGCATTGCTGGCGCCCGCAATACCCTCCGTTTCTGCCAGAGCAGGCGGTATCATTCTGCCGTTGGTGAAATCCCTGTGCTCAGCTTGCGGCAGCAACGTCGGGGACGGAACCGAGGACCGACTGGGGTCGTGGTTAACGTTTACGTGCTTCCAAACGTCGGTGATATCGTCGGCCATGTTCTTGACTGCGATGGCCGCGAATCCGCTGTGCGCAACGCTGACGTTTAACGCGATAAAGACGACGATTGGGTGGGGTGACTGGGCTAAGGCGGCGCTTGTACCTGGGGTGGTATCTCTGATTTTGGTGCCGTTGATTCTATACGTAATATACCCACCCACGGTGAAGAACAGTCCAGATGCGCCAAGGCTTGCCAGAGACAAGCTCAGGCAGATGGGACCCATGGCTCGCAACGAGAAGATTATGGCCGCCACCCTGCTTCTTACGGTATGAACACTGAATAACCCGCTCGATTTTCTTGCTCTTTTAACATTGCTTATATAAATGCGTATACGTTCTTTCGGCGACCACAGGTCACGAAAAATATTGCATCTGCATATACATGGAGATATTGCATGTGATCCATTGATGACTACTGCTAGTTTCCAAGTTATTAACTCTTTTCTACAGTGGAATGGGTCTGGCCTTCCCACATGACATTAGATTAGATTAATTTGTTATTATTACACTACCTGCAGCTCCCGAAACTGTAATCAGGCATCGGATAGCAAATTGGTTTTTTGCCCTCAAAATTTTACAAAAATTCATAGTGGGAATGCGGTTACCTGTGTAAGTACAGATAACATTACTTACTTTCTGTTTTGATTTGAAAATCAAATTAATTATCTGTGAACCTATCTATCTTCTATATATAACCCAAAAACTTGAACAAATGAAACTCCCCGGGAGCCATTCATTATGTAACTTATTATTTACACTTTGCGCGGAGCAAATGAGATATGAATTATCTAAACTCAGTTGTAATGATCCACATTTTTAACTTAAGGGTGAAGGGACAAATTTACCTCTTACAATATCAAAAAGGAGCATCGACCAGACACCATAATAAAATCTTGAGAGCAAAAATACCTATCAACTTTTTAAAATGGGGTAAAAATACCATTTTTGTTAACTGGCCTTAACGCCCGTCACTTCTTTCTTCGTGGGTCCCACCAAATACACATGTGTATGCCATGTAATCTCCCATTTTGATCAACTCAACCTCTCACCCGTGCTTCCTTCCTCCTTCACTTTCTCTTTTTATCTCTCTCTCTCCCCCCTCCCTCGCATCTTCATGCTGCCCTCTTATGCCTTCCACAGTGTCACCGGCGAAGTCGAGCATAACCCAGTGCACCGGTTCCTACATCAACCATTAATGTTATCTTCAACCAATTTGCACACCACCCTTTGCCTTTCACACCACCACCAACAAGATCCACACCCCCCATCTAACAATAGTGATGAGCTCGAGCATAACCCATACAGTGGAGAGACAACTTGTTTCATCTTCGATTCTTCTTCTAATAACGCACCAACCCTTCATCTTCTCTATTTCCCCTATGCAACTGTTGAACCTCTCGCATAGCCTAAAGCTCAGGATTTCTCAGATATGGGACTTCCATTTCTGTAAATCATTCAACAGATCTCATCGATCTAGACTGTGTATGATTCTTTTTGGGTTTTCTTGGTTTGATTAATGTTTCTGGTGGGAGGAGGAAGACAAAATGAGAAGGGGTTGATGATGATTCATGATTGGTGATACTCTGGCAGTGGGAAAGTTGACAAACATGGAGAAGAGGAACAATTTTTTCACTTGTTTTATTTTTTATCCAGCTAAGATATCATTCTGCCATATTGCCTCCATGGCAGTATTTTTAGTCAAAATATTCTTTTTAAACGGTCATCGTTACTCAGTCTAAGGGCATTGGTATTTTAAAGCCCTTTTTGAATTATTATGAATATTTTTGCCTCTGATATTTTATTATGATGTCTAATATTTTTTTTGATATTATAATAGGTAAATTTACCTATTCATCCAACTTTTAATACGTAAAAATTTATTTGAAACATAAAAATCAAAATAAACTAAACCTGGATATTTCAAATTAGATTTAAATAGTTGGAATTGATGATGACCACTTGGAATTGCGATTCCAAAACAGAGACTCCGCAGTGGCAAGGGCTGGAGAGAAATTGTAGGGTGGCAGCCGTCAATCATTGGCTCGGCAAATTAAAATCACTCTGCGTCTTTGGGCTGCCTTCCCACAAACACGCGTCACTTGTTATCCTGTTTCCCAAAAAGCAAGGAACCCATGTGGACAGATCGCCACGTGGCAGACGCTGAAGCCCTCTCCTTCTTTCTCTCTTTTTTTCCCCCACTTGTTCGTTTATTTGGCAGTGTCACTTGCAAATGGCATTGCATTGAGCAAGAGCAACAGAACACCCGAGCCACCAGTTCGTGAGCCCCATATCCACCGTCCCCTCCAAACCCAACGGTCCTCATTCCCCCTTCCCTATCCTCATGTTGCTGCTCTCCTGAACCCTGCTCCACCTCCGATCCCTGCAGCCATGGCTTCCATGCCACTCGCCACTCCTTCTCTTCCCCTTCCTTCCTCCAAGCGCCCCTCCTTCAAATACCTGCAACTTCGCTCCTCTCCTTCCCTCGCTTCTATCCACCTTAGTTGCCTCAGGCGTCATTCTTCCTTTTCCCCAATTCCATCTTTCACCCTCTCCAAGTCTGCTTTCAATATCAAACCCAGTCCGAAACGCCACATTGTCAGAGCCTCCGCTGCCGGGGCTTCAGTTTCTCCGGCTCCAGCAGCTCAGCCATGGCAGGGAGCCGCAATTAAACCTCTGTTGGCTTCTATGGCCACAGGGGTTATACTCTGGTTCGTCCCCGTGCCTTCCGGAGTTTCGAAAAACGCGTGGCAGCTGTTGGCGATTTTCTTGGCCACCATCGTCGGCATCATCACGCAGCCATTACCGCTCGGTGCTGTGGCCGTCTTGGGTTTAGGCGTTTCGGTTCTTACAAAAACCCTGACTTTCGCAGCAGCATTTTCAGGCTTCGGCGATCCCATCCCCTGGCTCATCTGCTTGGCCTTCTTCTTTGCCAGAGGCTTTATTAAAACGGGTCTGGGCAATCGAATTGCTTATCAATTTGTTTCTCTTTTTGGTAGCTCATCTCTAGGATTAGGATACAGTTTAGTTTTTAGCGAGGCGTTGCTGGCACCGGCGATTCCTTCCGTCTCAGCAAGAGCTGGTGGCATTTTTCTTCCGCTAGCGAAGTCCTTATGTGTGGCTTGTGGTAGCAACGTGGGCGATGGAACCGAGAATAGACTAGGATCGTGGTTAACGCTGACCTGCTTTCAAACTTCGGTGATCTCGTCGGCCATGTTTTTGACTGGAATGGCAGCGAATCCCCTCTGTGCCAATCTGACTCAAAACTCCATCAACCAGACGATTGGGTGGTTAGATTGGGCCAAAGCTGCCATTGTCCCGGGTTTGCTGTCATTGATAGTGGTACCATTCGTTTTGTACGTGGTTTACCCACCAACAGTGAAATCCAGTCCCGACGCGCCCAAGCTTGCTAGGGAGAAGTTGCAAAACATGGGACCAATGTCCCTAAATGAGAAGATAATGGCTGGGACTCTGCTTATTACGGTATAGAAAGACTTGGTTCCTTTCTTATCCTCAGACGCACCGGAATACTTGTAGTTCAGTTGAAACTTTATTAGGTTACCCGCGCTTTATGTTCAAATCTGAAAATGACATTTTAAATTGATAATGCGAATGCAATTATTCCACTTAACTTTCCATTCCATTTGTATCAGGTGGGGCTCTGGGTTTTTGGTGGGGTTCTTAACGTGGATGCTGTAAGTGCTGCAATTCTGGGATTAGCTGTGCTGCTTGTGAGCGGGGTTGTTACATGGAAAGAGTGCTTGGCCGAGGGAGTTGCTTGGGATACGCTTACGTGGTTTGCTGCCCTCATTGCAATGGCTAGCTATCTCAACAAATACGGTCTCATTTCCTGGTTCAGCGAAACTGTTGTTAAGGTTACTTCCCTTCCCTTCTCTCTTCTCCCTGCTTTGGGTCTGTGCATGACTTATGCAGTGCCCGATAACTTTCTTTCAGAAGATAAGGTGCCGATGGGTGTTCTTTTTCTCCTTCATTTATTCTTCCTTGTGTCCATTCCTGATGAACGCTTGATGTTTTTGTTTTATTTTGTTGTAGCATTCTTTCCTCATTATTCAACCATCCAGAGTAGCCTTTTTTTCATGTTCAGTCATGCAGAAGCCTTCTGGCCCAAAAAAAAAAGCTTGTGTGTGTGTGTGTCCAGAAACCTATACGTTTATTTTGAGATGCTCTCATCTACTTGTTTCGGGTGGCTTCTCGGAAATTTACTTGCTTTCTTCCTACTTATTTGTTTTAAAGTAGTTTTTCACCGTCTTTTCACAGTAGAGCGTATGCTAGCAAATATGTCCATGTCCTTTCCTTCTATAATATCTGCGTGAATTTGTTTGTGTTGATTTGTTCCTGTTCATTCGGAGTTAAAATCTGTCCAAAGTTTTCAAGCGATAGCAAAGCAGATCATACCAGCCCAGACGAACTCTCTCAGTAATCCTCAGAGCATTGTTGACTAGTATAGAAATCTCTTAATATTGAAATGCTAGCTATTCATGAATGATATTGTTTGCACAGTTTGTTGGCGGGCTGGGACTGTCGTGGCAACTGTCATTCGGCATCCTGGTGCTGCTCTACTTCTACTCACATTACTTCTTCGCAAGCGGGGCTGCTCACATAGGAGCCATGTTTACGGCATTCCTATCAGTTGCAAGTGCCCTGGGCACTCCCCCATACTTTGGCGCCATGGTGCTTTCCTTCCTCTCTAACCTCATGGGTGGCCTTACCCACTATGGAATTGGGTCTGCACCCGTGTTTTATGGAGCCAACTACGTTCCCCTTGCCCAGTGGTGGGGCTATGGATTCCTCATAAGTATTGTTAACATTATCATCTGGCTTGGCGTTGGAGGAGCTTGGTGGAAATTCATCGGTTTGTGGTGAACGCCTCCGTCCCCCTTTTTCTATTCCTTATCTTTCTTAATCCGCTTTGCTCTTACTTACCACTTCGAGCAAATCCCTAATATTTTCTTTGAATATTCCTATGAACATTCTTCCAGATGGTTTTGTTCACAGTTTTAGTCGGGGAAACTACTATGGAGAATCGATCGATTCACATCTGAGTTCAGCACTCATTTTTTTGTGCTATTCCAACACAACTCTTTCATACTAGAAATTATCATAATTGTTTCAGTTCTTCCACTTAATTTTGTATGACAAGAAAGTGAAGATAGTTATCGACACCCATATATAAATATAATCTATAATCTATAAAATTTATGAAAATCCATCCTAATTATAAATATTCCTCCGGTCATTAATATATGACCCAATTATTGAGTTAGTTTTAATCTTAAATATAAACCTTATTTCTCATATTATCAATTTTTTCATATTTATCACCCTAATTTACCTAACTTTCTTAATCTAATCAAATTAGTTAAATAGATCTTATATTAAGGATCGGAAGAGTATTTTTTAATATTTCACGCATCGCACGGGCACTACGTCAGGTTACATTTTAAACTAGAAGCAGACGTTTCATAACATGAGAGCTTAACAACCACACACTGAGTTAGGGCCAAAAAGGACCCCCAAAAAAAAAAACATCCATTGCATCTGCGTATACCCTCTATAGTTGCATACAAAATCTATTCATAAGAGCCATAATTTGCAGTCTAGTCAATATCAAAAACATATCGAAACGAAAACTGGTAAATCACTTAATATCCATATCCTTCACATTCTTGCTCATTTTAAAATCATTGACAGACTTGTCAAAAGTGCTCCTTACATGCTGGCACATTAGCATTAGATCTTGGCAGGCATCTTTCAACACCTCACGAGCTGAATCCCCTATAGATGCGCACAGATAACAAATATTGTAAGCAGAAAACTGCGGAAGGAATCTCAATGCGACAAACAGCCTAAAATAATAAGTTTATAGCAAGTAGTTAAATGCAAGATAATTGTCTGCACTGCTAGTAGTCATGTTACTGTTCAACAAAAAAATGCCCTACGCAAAATGAAAATGTATTCAAGGATGCCATAACTTAACCCTAAAGTTTTTAAAGCAGAAAATTCATTCTCAGTGAGATGTTAACAAACTGTACATATTATTATTATTATTATTATTGTTATTTTCAAAGAAAGGTATTCATGCAGTGTTTAATGCAGTACTTTCATTTCTGAGGACAATTACGTTCATAATTCAACAGAGAATGATACGAGAAATATTCTCATGGTCCAGTGATGCGTTGAACTTTCTTCAAAAATTAGAATCCAGATCAGTGATACAAATCACATAATAAAACCAAAAATAAATGCAACTGCGATTGCCCTACAGCAAACTCGGAACTTCAACACAATATTTTCGCAGAAACTTGTGAAGTACAGTAACAAATTTTCATTAAATTCTAGAGGTTCAAAGAGACTGTTCAATATATTACCTGTAACCACAGAATGTCACTCTTTGCAAAACATCAATGATCTCACCTTATCAGGATATTTGATTATTACAACAAACGACATCAGGAGGGCAGGGAGCGGGACTTGGAATACAGGGAGAAACCACATAAAGACTGACATTTATGACAGTATTTATGCTTTAGAAGTAAGCTAAGAACGAAATTCATAAATTATACGCGGAGGAGTAAAAAGGCACAAAAGAATTTTTAGATCACTGACTCCTGATTTAAGGTGAACCGAACAGCATTTGCAAGGGTATGATCCTCATCCGCCAGGGAAAATGTTGATTTACTGTGATCAGAATATGACCCAAGCTCCATTGCGATTGATCACCCTGTAGCCCAATAGACAAACCACAATCACATTTTCCTGGACATGCATACCGAAGAGAAAAACCCAGCTTTTTTCTTTGCGTTAGAAATTTAAAAAGAAAAGAAAATGAGAAATAAAAGCCAAGATACTATGTTGCCTTGCACTTGTTCCCCGGAACGAGAAGGGAGATCAAAATAGCGTTCAGCGAGAGCGATGAGACGGACGGAGGGCCGGAAGCAGAGAAAAGCCGGCCAAGGTGACGTCTCCAACGGAGAACCTGTCCGGCGAAGACGGCGACGATAGGAGAGCCGGAGGTTTTAATTTGGGTTTGGTATTTGCTCCTGCCGTGCCCCGCGTCTGACTTTGGAATTTAGGGTTAAATGCGAAATGAGAAAAATTATTTGGCGCCACACGCACACGCGACCAAACACACACTACGTCGTCTGATCGCTTCATGCGGGATCTGAAAATTGAAAAATGAAACAATATTCCATTCCTAAAAAAAAAAAAAAAAAAGACAATATAAAATACACTAATACGGTAATACCTTTTTTCTTAATTTAGAAAACTTTGAATTATTTTTAACCTAAAACTTTACTGCTTTTATCTTTTATTTTGAAAAATTATGCAGACTTCATTCTATTTTTAACATTTTATTTTCAAAACACCCAATCATAACATTTAATTTTTTTTCTCAAGATATCCTTTCTGAAAGTTAGACTAAAATAGTATTCTCTTTGTGTCATTTTAATTATAGGTCTAACAAATTTTTTATTCCATTTTGAACTCTTATTTGGTTTAGCAAGAAGGAGGCGAACACAGGGACAAATGGAGAAGAGGGGAGCAAAGGAATAGGATTTTAACTATCTAATTATGGATTGAAAAAATTAAAGAGTTATTTAATGCTGAAGTCAATAGTCTTGGTTATTCTTTTTAAGAAAAATTATATTCAGGTCCCACAAAAAACAATTAATTTAGAAAAAATTCCTCAAAATCCCAAAATATTTCTAAGTCCCCAGAAACCTGTGTGTAATAAATTGTAAACAAACAAACAAACAAACAACAAGCCTTATCCCACTAGGTGGGGTCGGCTACATGAATCACACGACGCCATCGTGCTCTGTCAACAACCCAATCCTTAGATATGTTGTTGATTAGAAGGTCTCGTTCAATGACCTCATTCAGCGTTCTTCTCGGTCTTCCCCTGCCTCTTTTTATGGGACTCCATCTTGTTTGATCCACCCTCCTCACCGGGGCCTCCAAAGGCCTTCTCTCACATGTCCAAACCATCTTAAGCGATTTTCAACCATTTTCTCTTGGATAGGTGCCACACCGACTCTTGTCCTGATCTTTTCATTATAATTTGCTCTCCCATCCTCACCTCCAAATCCCTATTACCTTGCCCCTCCAAAATCACAATGCATATGTTCTGTTTTGTTCCTGCTCAAACGGAAACCTTTCGACTCCAAAGTCCTTCTCCATAACTCCAAAACTAGTGTTAATCTCTTCTTTTGATTCCGCCATAAGAACTATATCATCCGCGAAGAGCATGGACTTAGGGATTCTTTCTTGAACAGGTTTAGTTAGAACATCCAGAACAATGTTGAACAAGTACGGACTCAGAGAGGATCCCTGATGTAGGCCAATCTTAATAGGAAAGTCCTTTGTCTCCCCCCCAGGCGTCCTTACACTGGTAGTTACCGCCTCATACATATCTTGTATGACTTTGATATACGCAACCCGTACACCTTTCTTTTCCAAAGCCTTCCACAATACTTCTCTTGGCACACGATCATAAGCCTTTTCCAGGTCAATAAAAACCATATGTAAATCTCTTTTTACTTCTATATCTCTCCATTAACCCCCTTAGTAAATAGATTGCTTCGATGTGGATCTCCTGGCATAAATCCAAATTGGTTTTGCGAAATAGAAGTCTCCAACCTCAATCTATATTCCATCACTTTTCCCACAACTTCATTGTATGACTCATAAGTTTTATCCCCCTGTAGCTTGCACAGTTTTGAATGTCTCCTTTATTCTTGTAAATAGGAACTAAAATGCTTTTCTCCACTCATCCGGCATCTTTTTAGAGCGTAGAATTTCATTAAAAAACTTGGTTAGCCATACCTCCCCCTCATCGCCCAACATTTCCAAACTTCAATAGGGATACCATCAGGCCCAACGCAGCCACGCAGTGGGCACAGAGCGAACTATTCTTTCGCCTTTTACTAAAGAATACCGTGTGTGTAATAAATTGTAATTGTGACATTATCTATTTATCCCCATTAATTTGAACCCAATGCAATTCATTTACAACCTCAACAGTGGCTGTTGACAACCTGAAAAGAAGTGGTTAACAACCTCGACAATGCCTCTGGCATCCCACAGAGTGAGTTGTCAGGAGCACTGCTAAAGTTATCAATCACTTCTACTCGAATTGTCAACAGCCACCGTTGAGGTTGTAAATAAATTGCTATAATAAAATTAATGAGAATAAGTAAATAATTTCACAATTACAATTTATTACACAGAAGTCCTTTGGACTTATGAATCATTTCAAGATTTTCAGAGACTTTTTCTGAATTAATTGTTTTCTGTTAGACCTTAGTGTAATTTTCCCTTCTTTTTCACGGACACGCATAAAAAAATATTCTTTATTATTACAATAGGTCTACCAACATGAATTGAAAGCTTGGGATTGTTTCTCCTTGAATCTTCTTTACATTTAAATTAGATGACATGCATGCTTATACACACAAGCAAAAATAGAAAGGGGTGATCGGAGGGTAGAGGCTTTATAAAATCAACAAATAGTTCGACACTTAGTTACATTTAACTATTTTAGGACTCGTAGCATAAAATATTTTGCATTTATATATATAAATCTCAGAACACAACCAAATTTTCAAATTTCAAACCCTTGATGCTCTACTTCCTCCTCTCTCATTTTTAGGCCCCTTCATGTTTGCACGCCCTAACGGAATGATAAAATAAACGGAAAATAAGTGGAGAATGAGGTAATAGCAATCTCCTACTTTATTTAAGGATCATTAAAGCAGAAGAGGCGCATCTGTAAGCATTCAGCAGAAGACAAATCACAACTCACCAGTGCTATGTTCATGCTAATTAATATTGATAATAGCACTTTTATCTGTTGGCGGGCTTGAACACTTCATAATGAATGATGATGCATCGCTGGAGAATATACAAACAGAAAACACAAGCTCCAATCTCACGATCATTCTTCCTTATTAACATGACGGCGAGGGTCAATAACCCGTAAAGGATTTTCATTCATGCGGCTGATATTAAGAACAGAGACTGATCCATGTGAGGGGAGTAAAGCAGAGGTGGTTGGTGAGTACCCATATCATATGGTCTAGTTGATCGCACGAAGACATGCTTCGTTCGAGTTAATTTTAGGCACTATCAACTGGTGAGAGCAGTGGTTAGCGGACGACCTACATTGAGAATTTCCTAATTATTAAAAGCCTTTATTCCATCGATTTCCGCCCTTCTAAATTTTTTCTTCAACTGAGTTTCTTGATCCAGAAAGCTGACATGGCATTTTACAATCCACTAATGCTATGGCTATGGAAAATGCTTGCAGAAGTGTGAATGACGAGTCATAAACAACCGAGAAAATTCCCTGCTTGAAGGGGACAAATCTGAAAGCAGGTCGGTATTCTCGCCCATTCCCCTGCAATGTGCATTCAAAGTTGAAAGAACGTTACATTAGTTATCAATGCAACATGAAAGGACAACTAAATTAGCAAAATAATTCAGCCTGGCACGAACATTACCTGCAGGAAAAGCTCAAAATGATCTTCACCACAAGCTTTGGATGAAAATGACTTTTTATTGGCTGGGTTTTCATTTGCAAAAATCTTAAGTTCGCAACCCATATCCCAACCACCACAGTCACAAGATCCACCTGATTTCCAGCGCTCAATAAGGGATGAAGGTCCACCTTTACTTGGATGACTATGAACCCCACTTGGAAGCACAACTGTTGCATGAACAAGCTCTTGACCATTATCACAGGAACTGCTATAATGCACATTATTGGTGAAAACCAATGTTTTGGGTATTTTGAGTATAATTGCAGCAAGTTCATCATCTAGCTGATAATCAGGGGCTTGATCACATCCCTGCTTTAGCTTCACAGAATACAAAACGAGCTCTTTCACAGGAGAAGAGTCCACACAATTCTGGCCAGTTAAATCAAGATAGTGAGGATTGGAAACCTTCATTTGGCCCACAACATGATGAATGTAATCAGGACCTTTTCCCTTTCCAGCCTGTTTTATCCAATTTCCAGCCTTCTTATTAACATCTCTAAAGGTGAAAAAGGTATAGATACAGCAGCAGCCATCCTTTTCTGTGGTACCTAACTTCTTCACCGTGGCCGCAAGAATGCTGCTGCTTTTGTCAACTGCAAATGTAAACATGGGCAAGCCATTCTTCCATGCAATTCTCAGAAGAGCTTGAACTGTTGATGACACATGCTTCTTACACTTCGATGAATCATCCTTATCAATTGTACTGTAACCAAGTCTGTGGTTCTTTATCAACCCTTTTTCACGCTGCAAAGAGGAAGATTTCCCATTTGCTAACATACAATTCTCATTTATTAACAATGGATCTTTCTGAGATGAATCTGTAGAGTGGTGGCAGTTCACCGTCTTTGGTTTCAGTAGTGGATCGAGAGTAACCTCCTTAAAGGGCTTGACCTGCTCCTACCAGTCTCACCTGCCTTACCATTGCCTGAAATATCTGAGCTCGAACAGCCCCTCATATTTTCTAAACTAGATGTAGCATTTCCTACTGAGCTCCTATATGGCCGAAGTGCATCCTCCTTGCAACCAGATCCTTTGCTAGCAAAACCGGTGCTGAAGCTAAATCGTCGAAAAGGTGAAGAGCTTCTTGACTTTTCACCTGTACTTTCTGAGCTGGTTCCTGGGAAGACGCTCTAGCAGATAGCATTGTAATTATCGGCTGTTTCTTTTCAACTTGTCTAGATTTGGATGGGCTTATTCCCATTTTAGCTGATAGGGGTGCTGAGAAAGTAGCAGTGTGAACTTTGACTCTTTCTGCACCTGCAGAACTGGACCCCTTTGCCTCAGAACGGGAACAGTTAATTTCATCAGGCAGTGTACAGGAGTTTGGCTTTTTATAACTAAAATCCTCGGGGGGTAGTTCCTTAGGATTTTCTATGAAGCTTGTTTGACTAAGAATTTGTGACTTTTGACCTTGGGATGTTGGCATATCCCGCGTTACAGAATGATCATTCAGGGAGATATCTCTGGACAAACAAAGAACAGGTGGTTTGTTTTTCTTGAGTACGTCTTTCTCAATGGTAACCATATTTGATTGCTGGAAAGTCTCCACTCTTTTTTCCAATTTACCACCTTGAGAGCTCGTTTGTAACATGATGTATGATGCTACTTCATTCATTTGGTCACTTGATAGAGCTCCTCTTTTCATATCAATTTTGGCATCTAAACCCTTCATGTTGCGTGCTTTCAGTCTATTATCAGGGAGGTCTGGGGAAAGACAGTCATTTGCCCCGACAAATTGGCTGTGTGTGTTATTGTTGCTACCGCTAATATTTTGACAATTTTCTAAAATTTTCCCAAGGATTTTGCATCCTGAGAGTGGCCCTGCATCGCAGATGCCATAAAATGAGATAGCAGTGGTGGATGGCAAATGCTTCGGCAGGAAGGAGACAAGCTACGACCACTGCTAGAATAACCAGATGATCTGTCCATTGAAACAGACACAGATTTATTAGTAGTTGTTGATGTCGACCTCCTACTACTTATATGGGGCATATGTTTATGACTGCATTTCCATTGCTCCAGACAGGCCCAATCAAGGACCCCCACATTCAAGACTTTATCATGAATACTTTCTCCCTTCTCCAAAAAACCTGGAAGATCTGACATGTACCTAACTAGCTCATCTTCTTTACATTCCCTTCTATGACTCCCTTGCTTTTGGTGATTCTCATAAGATTTTCTGTCCCCCACACATCTGGTAATATTGTGATGAAGGTCCGCATCTGACGGGGCAGAGTTATCAAGTTGTAAACTGTCATAATGCTTTGTACTCATGCTGGTAAGTAATTTCCTGAATTTCGATTGAGACCTTGACTAATTAATAGGCCGCATACGTTTGCTGGGCTCTAGCTCAGGAATTTTTTGGATGAGTTTGCAAGAAGGAATATCCAAATGCCGCTTTTCTGCTACAAATTGGAAACAAAGTAAAACTTCCAAATGCAAGGGTATTAAGCTAAATGAATAATTGCCTATATAAAAAAAGCAAGAATTGCATTAAGAAATGTTTCAAAGATATTACCAAAGGAAAAGGATAAAGGTTATGGCTAAAACGTATTTAAACAATATCCTCCTCTTCGTGTTTGAATTGATTCAGATCTGATAACATGTGAATGAGGTGACGCGTTAACCAATCTCAATATGACAAGAACCAGTTGAGCCCAACAACATCTTGAACGAAAACAAAATTAATGTCAAATTATATGAAAACTGTAGAGCACGATATTATGGTTAGCATTGAGCAATGAAAGCTGAAACCGAGTGTAAGGAGACAGAGTAGTATGAAGAGTATGGAAAGGATGAAAATCAGATAACGAAGTGGTAGTGGTCCACGGAAACCAATTTCGAAAATCTAAAAGATAAGACATAACGACCCGTGTCGATCAGAATCCCAGCCTTCTCCACAAATAATGGAGGAGACAAAGATTATAAGCTATTTAGAAGCACTCAGTATACTCGAACTTCAAAATACTGAACAGTAATGTCCCGTTCGTTCTCGAGCTTCGAAACGATCAATAAAATTTCACATGCTAAAAGGGCAGAGCATTTCTCTTTGTTTTGCTCCAATGTTTCCCAACGACTACATTAACCCGAGCTGGAAAAATCATTTAAAAGGGGTAAAACGCTTATACTACAAAGAAAAATGGTGGGGTAATATATATTAACACTCGTTGTTGCAAGAGAGACAGGAACACGAAGGTGAAATTACAGTATTACAGTGCTAAAACTCGGGTGCCAAAGGCAGTAATATATGGAAGTAATGTAAAATAAAGCAGAAAAACAGAATCAAAGCGGGATATGAAGCTCAAGATGCATACCAGACATCCAGGGGGGTAATGCAGGAGTGGAGGCTCGTCTAGCTTGGAGGCGAAGGAAGGAGTGTCGGTGGGAGACCAATAGCGCTGCAAAACGTCATGGGAACAGAGATCCAGAAGGCAAAGAAGATGAATAATGACCTCGAAATTCCAAAGGCTGAGTTTTCTTCTCCGAACTCTAAAGTCGGACAGGAAAGCAACAGAAAAATGACACGGAGCTGCCGACGTGTTCCGATCAGAGCCGGTGAGAAAACTGTTGCATTTTGGTTCTCGTGCTCCGTATCAGTATGTGAGTGCGAGTGTGATGCTGGCAGTCAACGAAGTGAAAGAGTGAAATAGGGGCAGCCCGTGGTTTCCCTTCGTCCTTTCTTTACATGGCGGATCTATCATAGAATCCTGAGTTACTGGGCTTAAACGGGGGCCCACTTAGCTCTGTACAGATAATTCACACTTTCTCTTCTCATCCGCGCTGAAAAGAAGCCGCATTATTTTAAATTATAAATAACATGGCCTATTTTGAGGCTTTGTGGTATACAGGAAACGCGTCCAGTTTTTTTCATGAAAAGTACAATAATTTTTTTTTTCACACAGGAAAAAGTGGGTAGGAGAGGAATGGAATCTAACTTTGAGCTGTATCAGTTAAAAGATCAATAATGTTCATCGTTTTCCCTTTATGCCTAGTTCTTGTGTTTAATTATGGCTCTTTTGACGTTTACATTGGCCATATTGTCTCCATTAGTGAAGAATTTTTTATATCAGAAAGTATTGATTTTTTTTTTTTCATTTGATTGAGGTTTCTAAGCTTAGAACATAAAATGTTGTCGTTTCTTCTAGCAATTGTTCTTTTTTTAAAGATTTGTAATTGTGTGTTTTTTTTTTTACAAAAAAAGACTACTTACCATCTTAATTAATATATTTTGTTACTCCAAAAGTATTGAATTTTATGCGTAGATCATAAAACCAAAAGGGCCAAGTCACATAACAAAATAACATGGAATCCGTATGGTCTTGAGCAGAGGGGGGGATGGGGGATAAAAAGCAAGGTGGCCGCGCTTTGGGGTTAAAGTACTTGCCTTTTTTTGAGCAGCGCACGAAGCAAAAAGCGGTGTGGGATACGGAGAAAGAAGTGCAGCTCAGAGCGATTGGGCGCATTAATTAATTGATGTTCATAGTTTAATGGTATTATTTATATGACAATGATAACGAGGGGTTAAGGGTACAAAGCCTGACGCCATTATTTCCTGGAGTATGAGGATGATGGTGATACATGTCAGTTTTATTATTAGTTTATAAACAGTTTTTTAATTATGATTTATAAAATATTAAGAATTTATTTAGAATAGTTTACAAACAGTTTTTCAAACGTAATTGACAAAATATGAGATAAATATATGAATTTTTTTTTTTATGAATTTATATAAAACATATTTATAAGTAGTTTTAAATATGATACTGAACGAGACTAAGTAAAGAGAGTCTTCTTTCACTTTACATAAACCATGCTAACCATACTTGTTTGTAAACGTGATTTCAAACATCCCTTTAGGAGGCTAAAGTGGGATTGGGGAGGAGGGCATCATGATGTGGATGCATTCCACAGTCAACGACTCATGGAGTGGAAGCCCCCGGTGAACGTCTGTTGTCTAATGATTAGCCAAATTATAGCGTCTTCATTAGAATTAAGACCTCATTTGGTATGATTAGAGTTTTTTCCCCCCTTGACAGAATTGGAGTAGAAAAAAGAAATTACAATCAGAATAAAATTAAATTTAAAAATATGTTTGGCACGATGAAAGAACTGTACAAAATCTTTGCATAATTCTCATTTGTTAAGCATACTTATATAGTGAAAATATTAAAATGCACTTTCGATCAGAGCCAAAGCAGGACAAAAACAGACCCCCATGGGACCCCACTAAATGGATTTTATGGGAATTACGAATCATACATGCTAAAACGCTCAAATCATGAATTCCTACTCCGATTCCTTTGCACCAAACACAACATAAATTATATGAGAAAGGGGGCTTAGCATCAAACTTCCAAGTTGACCCAGAGCTTTTGGGGGGGGGGGGGGGGACGACACAATTAGTCATTATCATTTGTCATATGAGCACTATTATTCACGAAGATGGCCTCAGTCTCAGGGCAGGCAACTCCTGAATGAGACTCGCATTTAACATGCATAGAACAGAACCTCAATGGCTAAATCCAAAACAAGGGCCCTACATTCGAACCAGGGTGGCGCTCAGATGATCCATCTGCGCCTGCGATGCAAGCAGCAGCAGCTCCAAAAGCCTGGATACTGTATTCTGATGTGTAAGGAAATTGGGCTTTTCATGGGCTTGCAGTTAGAATGGTGATGCACCTTTACCCAAATAACCACAAGGCCCTAGACCAAAATTTAGACCCAAAAACAAAAGAATAAAACTGAGGAAAGCAAACGGGTCGCTTTATTGAATCTGGAACGTTCGAGCATCGGTATTTACTAGCGACGAGCAGGAGCATGATCAATGTACCCGGGCTTCGAGCTGAGAGAGACGAAATAGGC